AGCTGAAACTGGGAGTCTACTTTGTAAAAGAAATTCTTTATTTCACTAAACCTTCTAGAAGAGTAGAAAATACTTTCAGAAAGAAGGCTTAATGAATTCATAAATTATGTTTTTTTTTTAACTCAGAGCACTATAAAACATGAAACTTCAAAAAAAAAAAAAAAGCCTCTCCCAATAGTAAACTTACAATTTAGAAAGAATGTGATTGTCCTTTGGCTTAAAGGAGTGTATTAGAAAAAAGAAAACAGATTGAGGTTATAAGTAGAGAAATATGTGTTACCTGAAGTTGAAAGGATAGAAAAGGGATAGGCAATAGTGACAATAAAGATGGGCTGGCCCTGGGAATATGATAACTATTAGAATCAGCATGAGGGCAGCCAGGCATTCTACCCACAGATCCGGGCACGGCAGCAGTGGAGAGACAGGCTCTGAAGGTTAATGTTAAGTATTATTGGTTGCACCAGATGAAACTATGCTGTAGTTCCAAAATGGTTGAATGTAGTAATTTCATTAGCCATTTTGTAAGAGACCTTCTTACTAGTAAATAGTGCTATAGTCTATGGGTCGTTTAGTGCAAGCCTTAGTTTGCATTCATTGTATCAGCTCTAGAGGAACTCACTATTTCAGTACAAATGGAGTAAACAGAGGTCCATATTTCTGTCTTCAATATTATTAAGAAGCAGCTAAATTATGCTTAGTATACTGAAGGAGGGAGCTGGAAAACATATGAGTAAGACATTAATTTAAAAAGCTAAAATGGGCAGCTCTCCCAAGGCTGCCTGCCTGTCTATGCAAATCTGTTTTAGCAAATCTGTCCATTTCAGGGGCAGTGCTTTCTGTCTGCCTGTGTCTATGCAAGCCTCCTTTTCTCTCCTTTCCTTTTTTATGTAATAAACATGCTCTTTGGGTGTAAAAAAATTAAAAAAAAATAAAAAGCTAAAATGAAAAATCTCAGTGTTTGACAGGCTAAGGTTTATTTATGTGAACAATTAATTTCTTCATATCTGTAGTATCAGGTATACATACCTGAATCCTTAACTTCATCTAGTGGTCCTGAGACTAAAATGTTAACCTGCTAATGATATTAAGTGGTAAAGAGTGATAATAATTTTAATTCTAAATGTATGACTATTCCTGGAATATCCTAGAAGTTGTAAGAAGAGTGACACCTCTTCATGAAAGTCTTTCTTGTTTTTTGTATTTCTCATTCTTGAAACCTCTCTCAACACCAGATTTTCTATACAGGATTAATTTTTTTCTTTTTTTCTCTCCCCTCCCCCATTTCCTATATTTGCTCTTTAGTCACCACAAAGTTCAAAGGTATTTCTTGCTTTTACTGAACAGAATTTTCTAACCCTTATTTTTACTTTTTTTTTTGACTTATCCATTCATGCATACAAGAACAGGGGTACAGGCCAGATGAGTGAGAGGGTGAGAGGATTCACCAGAGACAGAGCGGGGAACAGAACAGGCAGACTGACAAAATACACTGCTGAGGGGAGCAGTGGGCGAGACAGGAGAGGTCTGCTGCACCATGTGGGTATCTCCCTGGCCAGGTGGGATCGAACCCTCACTGCAGAGGTTGCGGACAGCTTCGCAGCGCTGCGCTCAACTGCCTGCACCATCAGGGAGCCCTGTTTTAACTTTTAAATCTTGAAGAGTGAAGTAGCTTAAATTCTTGTATTTTTAAAGTTACATAAGTAAAACTATTTTAAAAAATCTATTCACAAAAAAAAATTCCTCACCAACACAAACACTCATATACATATGTTGTGAACCTAAGATATTATCAGAGTAACAAGGGCAATCATATCATGTATAAGAATGTGCACTGGAGCCTCCCCGGTGTTGCAGTGGGTTGAGCGCAGAGCTGTGAAGCTGTCCGCAGCCTCTGTAGAGTGGGTTCAATTCTCGGCCAGCCAGGGAGCTACCCACATGGCATGGCAGACCTCTCCTGTCTTACCTGCTGTTCCCCTCAGCAGTGTATTTCAATCAATCTGCCTGTTCTGTTCCCTGTTCTGTCTCTGGTGAATTCTCTTATCCTCCTGCGCCTCTGGCCTGTACCCCAGTTTTTGCATAAATAAATAAATTTAAAAAAAAAGAATGTTCACTGGACTCCTTATCATGGGTGAATTGTAGTTAAGGAGCTAATGTAGCTTTCTAAAATCAACAAAGTAAGCTCTTAAGGAATCACAAGTGTTTAAAAAAATAAATTTTTTTTATTAGAGTAATACAGAGCTTACTTCTGTACCTCAGTGAGCACATTTTAGAAGGATGCACAGGCAAGTACATGTAAAAAGATCTTGGTCTGCTTTCTTGAGTCAGATTCAGGCTGGAAGCCAGCAGTAAACCTGAAGAAATCAGAACTGTGAGTGCCAGCACCTGCATCACTGCAAGCAGAAAAGAGCTACAAATTCTTGCCCACACTGTCTCACACAGAAAAGACTGCATTGTTTTTATTTTCTTTGGGCCCAATCATGTTTCTAGTTATTTCCCAGAATGCTGGTAACTCTCTTTTGGAAAGAAGGGATGTTACTGATTCTTCAGTATAGCAAATGCCTTATATCTGCTCCTAGCTGAAGGTCCAGCACTAGGTACTGGGAATATAGACAGGACATTTTTTCTTCTCTTAAAGGGCCTGTGTTCCACAGGGTGATGGAAAGGTGAGCAGCATGAAAGATAATTTTATACAATATGTTAGTTACATTTTCAAACAATATAATCAATATTTTTCCTTCAACCTCCAAACATGATTTCAGGTGAAGTCCTTCTAATTTTAAAGTAATGTCTCCAATAGGTAATCTGGAAAATAAATTCAGTGAGCTCACTATTTTGCCTGTATATCCAGATATTTGGTATATTAATAATTTGGTAATGATGAACAGTTTATCTTCATTTTTTAAAAAGATTATTTATGCATACAAAAGCTGGGGTACAGGCCAGAGGTGCAGAGGGCAAGATGATTCACCAGAGACAGAGTAGGGAGCAGAACAGGCAGACTGACTGAAATACACTGCTGAGGAGAGCATTGGGCGAGACAGGAGAGGTCTGCTGTGCCAAGTAGGTTAGCTCCTCCCTGACTCCCTACCCCTGCTCTCAGACAACCACTGATAGACTTTCTGTGATTATAGATTAGGTTTGCATTCCCTTATAAATGGATCTATACAGTATATAAACTTTGAGTCTCATTTCTTCCATTTAGCATAATGCTTTTGTGACTCATTCCATGTTGTTACATTATAGAAGGCTGGTCCTTTTTCATTGTTGAGTAGTATTCTATCTTATGGATGTGCCACAATTTGTTTATCCATTCACCAGTTAATAGACATTTAAGTTGTTTCCAGTTTTTGACTTATGAAGTTGCTATGAACATCCATGCATAAACAAACAGAACTCTGGAATCCTAGGAAATTCAATAAACAAAGCAGCCTGGTTGCCTCTTTGTGGGGAATGGGAGTCAAATGGCTAATGGGGCCAAGTTACAAAAAGAAACCAGTTTTTAAAGAAGCAGTTATAGCTAAACATTAACAACAACAACAACAAAAGATCTGTACTGAGCAAAGGGTACTGCTGATCAGGCACCTTTCGATGGCATGGGAAAAATGGATTGCAACATCATTGGCAGGACAAAACTATATACTTAGTGTTTTGACATGGAATGGAATTGAGCCAATACATTCAAACCTATTTTCTGGGCTACTTCTTCAGGATATGTTTGAAGACTTGTCCAGGCACACAGACCAAGAGCTTTATCTCCAGTGTTACATAGACTTTACTGGCTGTGCAACCTTGGGTAGGGATAAGCAACCGTGGTAAACGGGCATTAAAAAGGCTGCCTACCTTGAGGGCTGTTAGGAGGATTAGATGAGAATCTATGTCTGTTGCATAAGGTGGGCTCAATAAGCATGAATTATTATGCCTAAAAATCATGTAGTATCTTTGACATAGAAAAAGATTCCAAATACATTCCTTAGGAAATTGGAATTTAATCCATTTTTAAAAACACATGTGGTATTTACATCCTGTATTATTTATATAACCATTGAAGAATTGAATTACTAATCAAAATCTTATCAAATTTTGCACAAAAGCTGCCCATGGCTGCAACACTGGTCCATCTCCTCAGTAGCAGCTGTCTAGTTCCAAAGCTCCCTCCAGGTGCTTCTCCACCCAGAAGAATCTCCACCGGAGTTTGTCAGTAATCTAACTCCTGAGCAATTCCTCATGAGACACTTGTGGGGGGATGTGGCCTGTATCTACTAGCACTGACTTTGGCTCTGGGGTGACCACTGCACCTCCAATTCTAAAAGGGGACCCTGGAGCCGCGTCAAAGGAGCACTGGTTGGAAGCTGAGGACTAGGGTTCGAATCTGCCTTAATTGACCCGACCCCCAACACACGTGTTGTCTCTTCCTCAGTAAACTGGTTGCAGGATTACATCTGCAAGTGTCAGCAAGGTTTCAATAAATGCTAATTGACCCTAATTCCATGCTCTCTCTTATCTTTCCTGTTTTCCACAATCTCCGAAGTCCACAGGCTGCAGATAACGCATATGAAATGCAGTGATTCAGGAATCTTGTGGTAAACAGTCAATACTGTAAAAGTCCTGAAGGATCACCGGGCAGGAAAGATGGAGCTCTTTTCTGCCTCACCGGAGCTCAGTCTAGCTCTCCGGGTTTTAAGTCAAAAGTTATTTCAGCTATTGCGGACACATGAGTGGGCTTGGAGTCAACGGAGTCGTTAAGGGAAAACGCTTCCCACCCCCAGGAGCCGAGACTGGGCGCCTCGCCACGCTCCCTCCCTCCCCTGGAGGTGCCTCCAACCAATTCCCGCCCGCCCGGCGGCCGCTCACCTACTCCCTCCCGGGCGGCCCGCGCCGCCCATTGGCTGCTCAGCTTTTATCGCCATGATAGTTCCCAGCGCCCTCCTGCTTCCGGCGCTGGCACCAGGTGCTGCCCGTTTTGCCCAGGGCATTGTTAGCGCACGTTTTCCCCCTTCTAGGTGCCCGTGCGGCTCGCCGCGGGCGGCCCGGGCACCCTCTTGGGGGGCGGGTGGGCACCCGGGGCCCCGCGGCGTGGCGAGGGGTCGGGCTCCGAGCAGAGTTGAGCGCGCCGCAGTCTGCCCGCGCCTCCTGGGCCCAAAAGGACGGCAGGCGAGGGCGGCGACCTCTTCTTCCGCTCACCTGGCATCTACTCAGGTATTTACATTCCTGGGCGCTCCTGGCGGGGAAAACCCCCAGTGCTCTGCGCGGACTCCGCGCGCCCGGCGGGGTGGGGACCAGTGGGCGTTTGAAAGCCCGCGAGGCTCCCCCATTGGCGGGGCGCGGGCCCGCCCGCCGCGAACGTCTGGTTTGGCCAAGGGCGGGGCGCAGGTGCGGTGGCCTCCCCTTAGTGTTTACGTTTGCAACTCGGTCAACTCAGGTGGTTTGTTACGGTTCTGGAGGATGCTGCGTTTCCTCGCCCATTTTCTCCCTTACAAAAAGTAAGAGCCGTATTTCAGAGAAAAAAAAAAAAATCCACCCAAGATACTTCGTTTACTGCTGTCCTCTAGTCATGAATGGCTGCTTTGAAATTATATCTTTATTGAGGGATGGAGATAAAAACCAAAAACTGGACCGAGAGATTTGGGGATTGTTTATTTGGACCTTCCGATTTTTTTTTCCCTCTGTAATTTTAAAGGAAATAGTCTAAGTACTGCAAACATAGATGGTGTTTACGAAAGGAAAAACAGTTTATTTTGTTGGAATGCGTGTAACAAAAACACAACGCTCATTTTCAATGAGCAACCCTGGTCTATTATTTTGGTTTGTATTTCTGTAACGCACTTACTACTAAAGAGCACATTTTCTTTATTTTTCAGTCCAGAGCACAACCTCCAGAAGAGATCAAAAGGAAGCCAGTTTTGGGGAAACTCGGCAATCTGTTCACGGCAGGAAGGAGAAGGAACACCAGAGAGAGCCCCGCCAGCTCAATCGCCAAGTCAGTGCCTCCCAAAGATGTAACCTCGTCCAAACTCCCCGAAAGAGAGAATAAGAACAAATCTCAGGGCAGCTCACCAAAGCAAACAGACACGTGCGAGGAAGGCTCCCCCCAGAAGCAGCCCCAGGAGTCCGAGGAACTAGAGGACCAGCACTCGGAGAGCTGCTTCCAGGCAGCCCTCCCTGACGTGGAGCTGCCACCTGGCTCCAGCAGCCCTGCAGCGGCGGCGGCGCAACAGTGCCACGAAAGTGATTCACCCCAATTAGAACCTCTTGAGGCAGAGGGAGAGACTTTCCCAGGTGCCACCACCGCTGCCAAGCAGCTGCATTCCTCACTAGAGAATTCCTCCAGGCGAGAGAACGCAGAGAGGCCAGCCCTCCGTCCGGGGCAGGACGCTTCGCCGGACGCAGGTGGAGATCAGGAGGGTGCCCAGGGTGCCGGGGGTGTGCCGGGATCGCCCACCCAGGAGCGGCCGGGGGAAGGACTGGGCGAGGCCGCTGACAGAGCCCCTCACGTGTGTGCCACAGCGGGCTCTGGGGAGCCTCCGGACGCGCGCGGCCAGCCCCGGGAGAACGCACCTGTGCTACCAGGTGACCCCGCCGCCCAGGGCGCAGAGAATTGGGCGGGCTCTGCGCGAGCCAACGGCACAGCCGGGCCCCGAGGGCGCGACTCCCGGCCTGGCGAGCGCGCCCATCCCGCCACGGTATTAACCTTAGACATCTACTTGAGTAAGACTGAGGTGGCGCAGGTGGACGAGCCGGCGGTGACTGCTCCCGCGGCGGAAGATTGTAGCGATTCCGACGACATGGAGAAGAGGTCGGGCGGCCGCAGGTCGGGCAGGCGCAGGAAGTCGCACAAGTCCACGGACTCCCCGGGCGCGGACCCGGCGCTGCCGGACAGCACGGCGAGGGATGACGCGGTTTTCGATGACGAGGTGGCTTCAAGCGCCGTGACCGAAACTGTCTCTGCTGCTGAAAAGAAAGTGAAATCTCCGCGCGCGGCCCCCGACGGGGGCGTCTCCTGCGCCGCGAGTCCTGAGTCCAAGTCCATCCCCAGCCCCAAAGGGCAGCTCCGAGGGGAGTCGGAGCGGAGCAAAGCGCCGCTGCCCGCTTCGTCCCCCACCAAGAGGAGGGGCAGGAGCCGCGTCCCCGAGGCTGTGCCCACCCCGCCCGCCAGCAGCCCGCGCACTCCCGCCAAGGAGTCCCCACCCAAGAAAGCGCCGGTGCCGGACCCCGGGCCTGCAGCCAAGGGAGGCGCCGGGGAGAGCGAGGAGGAGTCGGCGCGGGTCATCCCGCGCGAGCTCACGGTCAAGAGCAGCTCGCTCCTGCCCGAGATCAAGCCGGAGCACAAGAGGGGCCCCCCTCCCGGTCACTTCGACGGCCGGGGAGAAGGTGGTCGAAGCAAGGAGCTGGGCAGATCGGCGGGAAGTTCTGACAACGAAGGCCTCAAGCCCAGGAACCACTTAGGCGCGGGCAGGTCGACCGTGACCACCAAAGTGACCCTGTAAGTAGCTGCGGGATGGAGCGCGCGGAGCCGCGGCGTCCCCGGGCGCGCTGGGCGCCTCCCCGGCTGGGCGGCCCCCCGGGGGGCGCGTCTTCGCCTCTGCGCGGGGACTGTCTGTGCGCTGGTTTTCTCCTGCTCTGAAATTAACGTAGAGGAGGGCTAGTTAGCATCGGTGAGGCTGAAAAAGACGACGCATTCAAGAGCCTCCTCGTTTATTCCAGCTGTAATGTAAGAGTGAATTCAGTGAAAATGAGTTATCTATCTCTGGAGACTCATTGTTTGCACTAGCAGAAGGAGGCATGGCCTGACAGGCGCTGATTCTATTCTTTGTTAAAACTAAAGGGCAGTCCTGGTTAGAACATCGTTAAAACACAGGCAGGTTAATTTAAAAACATGGAGCAAATGCTAATATGTTCAATGTGACCCAGTTTTACACGCAACTTAAGTGCATTATTGCCTTAAATCTTAAAAAAAAAAAAAACAAAAAACAAAAAACTAAAGAGACTCTTGCTTGCTTCCCCACTTTTGTATTTGGAAGTCTGGTGATATTTTTGCTCCCAGATTGAAAAAGTAATTTTCTGCTATGGAAATGAAGGGAGATCAGTGTTGCCTCTGGGAGACTACTTGTTATAAATAGAAGGACACAGTAGAAGGGTCTAGCTCTACAACAGACTGAATACTTGCTTACTGATTTTTCAGATATTTATTGAGTGAATTTGGCATGGTTTGATGCTGGAACCTATGGGGGGGAAAAACCTACACTATAATTCATACATTGTCTTTGAAAAGTTTATGACCTGGTCTGGCACACACAGAGCAGACAACTCAAGGAGCAGTATGAGGGTTGTCTGCTTACGATGCCGACTGGATATTCCATCTGTGAAGGCTGGGGAAGTGCAAAGGAGGACAAAATCACTTTTGGATTTTGGAAAGAGAGGGGACTTGATGATAAATGTGATTTTTATAGGCGGGCCAGATGGGAAGGGCACTCAATAAACTACTTAAGATCCTTCCACTTCCAACATCTCACTACCCCCTCCTCTAGTTAGCAAGTGAGAAGTGTTTATACCTTAACTGCTTTAAGTGTTCCTGACATTCACACATTTATTAAGAGCTGGGATTTTTACAACATTATCATTCTTAAACTGAATGGTTTTATTCTGGCTCCTTGAATTGAATTAGCAAGCCTTAGAGTAGGAGGTCTGTTTGGTAAACACTTGACAGAAAAATCTGCTTAATGAATAATTTGAGCTACCTCACCAGCTGCCAACCAGGAAACCTTTGATAGAGTCAGCTATTTATTCTGTAACGGCGGTGTTGGAGACATAACATAAGTGAATGATGCCCATTATTTGTAGATGGCAGTGTGACTGAACATTCAAATCTCCCATGTGTGAGCCTTAGAGAAACGTTGCTATGTATACCTGATGAAGGACGCTCACCTGCCTTCCAATCAGAATACACTAGTGGTGAAACCAGAAATGTTACACTGTTAAGAGTAGGGTAAACAAACCCCAGGAAGAGGATCTTAAACAATGAAATTCTTCAGGTGCTGTTTCCTATAGCAGAACTAAAACAAATGTCTTTTTCTTAGTGCTGATATTTTCCATGTGAAATCTTTCCTTTGCCAGACATTGAGTTTATTTAATTGTTTTCCACATGCCTTGTGCCTGGTATATTGGCAAATGATTGAAATGGAAGTGATTTCTATTTGACTGATGGATTTTTTTTTTATAACAGACCCTCTACTTTCTTTCTCTGATTGTATTTCAAGTAAAGTTGTTATTCAGATTATCTTTTTAAAACAGTTTGAGTCTGGAGTTTTAGAGTTGAAACTATTTTATATTCCCTGAAAAATCATGACTGAGGCAATGTATTTCTTGGTACTGTTAGAAAAATTATGTCTTCGGTTCTCTATCAAGTGTTGAATGTTGAGTTTCATAAAATGGCAAGTTTAAAATGAGAATTTTCCTCTCATAGCCATAGTTTTTTAGACTCCAGATTATTTTCCCATCTCGTATTATAATGAAGGCATTACAACATGAATTACAGGAGACTGCCTTTTAATCAGTTTGAACTAGGTTAATTGTAGTGACTCTCGGTAGCAAACTTAATAGCACAGAAAGTTTGGTTGTAAAATGTATTTTGATCTTGGTGCAAATCTTTAATGTGCAGATGTGTGTTTCCTGTCCTTAAGGTAGCTTGTTGGCTAACCTGTCGTATTTTGCATTTACATCATAAGATACTCTTTGATGTTTGCTGTTCCTTGAGCTGGTTAGTGAGACTTTTTTTTTAATGTGTACTCCCTGGTATTGGTAGGATATCTCTCATTAACTATAGCATATTTAAGCACTATTTCTAGTTATCTTCACTGATTTTAGAATTTAACCTTATGGGTTAATTTTGTTTTTAAATGTAAGCTATGGGTCTACAATGAGGGAGCTTGATAGCTTATGGAGGTTTGGGGGAAAGCAATGCCTGGGAGAAATGAATGAGGATATACAAAATTTAGTTTTTAAATTTAAAAAATGAAATTCTTAATGCTATTCTTAGGAAGAACATCTCAAATCTCCTGTCTTCTCATTTTATCAAGAAGGGTAAGGTATCTCACCCAGTCATACTGTCTTCTCCTTCAAGAGGTTCATCAGGTCCAGTCTTCTTGCAGGCCGTGAGTCCATGCAACCCCCTACAGGAGGTTTCAGTACTTCTCCACTTTTGTGTTCCCATTAACAGGGTGGCCTGGAAAGTGTGGTAATTTTATCTTGTAGGTTTCATGATAATTCATTGAGTCTTTGAGTTATAAAGTTGGAAGGAACCAAGGAGGTTATTGAAGATAGTCTAGTCTGACCCTCTTCAGGGATGGAGAATGCCTTGGGGTCAGGAGCAAGGCATCTGAAACCCCAGTATGTCCTCACACTATGGCTCTGTCACTAGCTGTGTGACCTCAGGCAACTTACCACCTCCAGGCCTCAGCTTCCTCATTGTAAAAGAGTGCACTAAGCCATAAAATGTCTTTCTCAAGCGCTTGGCAATCAGTGCATGTTAGTGGTTATTTTTTCTCTCCCATTTCATGAACCGCTAGACCAATGGTTTAGACATTTTTGGGTTTTATTTGCTTGTTTTTAGCTTGGTAAAAGCTTAGGTGGCGGATAAGTGGGTGTGACTGGTTGAAAGGAAGGTGGCTGGCTAGTACCCCTGCCCTCAGTCTCTACTATTCCCAACTCAGCCCTTGAAGAGGATTCTAAGATTCCTTCAATTAAAACTTAAGGGGTAGGAAAGCAACTCTGCTCTAAACAAGTTTTGTTTCTTTTCTAATTAAAAAAAAAAAAAACAAACTAGATTGAAAAGTTAGAGAGATAAAGTAACTTCCTCTGCAATTCACAGAGATAATTAGCGTAAGAGTCAGGACCAAAACCAGGTAATACCAAAGAGAACACTTTGTCTCTCAATAGAAAATGTTGCTGCTACATGCAAAGATTTATTAGGGGGTAATTGTAAACAAGAAATGCAACAGAGAGGGGAGACTCTGTTCAAGAAATGAGTGCTTGATAGGTAAATTGCAGTATATCCATCTGATGGATTTTTGCAGACATTACGAAAACTTACAAAATCTTTAGTGACTTTACAAATGTTAAATATAAGCTTAAGATTTTTTAAAAGTTAAGATACCAACTCTAAGACTAAAATAATTTTTAAAATATGCATATAAAAAGCCTGAAAGTATTATGAGTAGTACGATTATGAGTGATTTTTCATTCTTGTATTTATCAAATTTTCTCTACTGAACACACATATCTAATCAGAGAAAATTCTGTGGGGGAAGGATGAAGGGAACAAAATATCCAAACGGGTAAATCATAGAGAAATATCTTTCATAATTTAACCTTGTGATATAATGTAAAAAATATTATAAAAAAAAATAACTTATTTTTTTTTGGAAATCATTTACATATTTAAAGTGTGGGAGACTTTAAACCTTTAAATTTGTTCTAAGTTATTTTAGGTTCTGAGATGTCCAACTTTAGCTTCAAGTACTGTGCATACATATTTGCTACGTAATAAACTTGCTAGCCCCCCTCCTGTAGACTTTCTTAGCTATAGAATTGTCTCATCCCTCATATACAAGCAAAACACCCGTTAAAAGAGTTTGCAGTTTATTTAGATTGTTTTAAAAGTTTCATTAAAAAGAAAATAAATGTTGCATATGTTGTCTTTTCATAGTTTGGTAACAGATTGGTATGTTTGCTTTTTAAAATTGGGTCAGTGACTTTATCTTCTCGCTTTATTCTTGCAGCCCTGCCAAACCCAAACATGTGGAACTAAATCTGAAAACCCCTAAGAATCCTGACAGTTCGGGAAATGAGCATAATCCATTTACCCAGCCAGTTCATAAAGGAAACACTGCCACTAAAATCTCCTTATTTGAAGACAAGAGGGCAAACAATAGCCCTAGGCACGCTGAGATTCGCGGGGCCAGGAACACGCCTGCCTCTAATAAGACCTTTGTAGGGAGAGCAAAACTGAACTTAGCCAAAAAGGCCAGGGAAATGGAGCAACCTGAAAAGAAAATAATGCCAAATAGCCACCAGAACGGTGTGCTGGGGAAGGAAACTGCCACAGAAGCCAAAGTTACTCTCCCTGAAGAGAGTTCCAGTGTGAAAGGGACAGAAGGTGAGCCTTCCCAAGGTGAAGTTCTTAGTTCTCAGCTTCACTCAGAAGATAAAGCAGCTGTCCCAACAGATGCTAGCGCCCTTTCTGAGTCAATGATTACTGCTCAGATTCCTGTCAAGGACCACAAGTTCTTAGGAGAGGCTGCTACAGCACAAGAACCTACTGTTCCTGATCCCCATAATTCAGCTCTAGCAGCCATACCAAAGCCACAGGATAAAATTTCTGACTCACAGTCCACAGCTGAGTCATCTAATGAGCCTTCTCTCTCACTGCCTGCACCCAGTTCTCTGGATATTCCCAGAGATGATTGTGCTCAAGTTCCCATGAGCAATTTACCGTGCGCTGATCTAAAAGTGTCAGAAAACCATAATGGATATATTTTGCCTGTGTCGCAGCAGGATGAGAAAATGGTCCCCATCAAACTTACAGGCAGAGGAGGAGATGGAGGAGAAGCAAGCCTTCTGCCCACAGAGCACAATCCGGAACCTGTGGGAAATGAGTGTCCCTCCAAGGTCCTCGTCCAGGTCAGGTCCTTTGTGCTCCCGGTGGAGAGCACCCAGGATGTCAGCTCGCATATCATCTCAGATAGCTCTGAAGTTAGAGAAGTGCAGTTGCCAATTTGTAACAATAATGAACTTGAAGTGGTTTCCGTTGCAAGTTGTGCGCCCCTGAAAGAGGAAGTGCTGGGTAATGCCAGCACACCACCCAAACACTTTCAGAGCAAAGAAGAACCTGTAGCAAAATCTGGTGCACAGGTCATGCCTCTGGACTCAGAGAAAATGCTGCCCAGCCAGGCTCAAAGTCAGGGCAGCAGAACACCCCTGATGGCTGAATCCAGTCCCACTGATGCCCCTGGCACCAGTGTTGTGAATGGCCAGGACAGCCCTGACAATCATTTGAACATTTCTGCTGGCAGTGATGTTCTTGATTCTTCTTCTGATATGGAAAAATTCACTGAAATCATCAAAAAGATGGACTCCACAGTCTGTGTGCCCCAGAAGAAAAAGAAGTCCAGACTGCCAAACTCTCCTGCCCCTCACTTTGCCATGCCTCCTATTCATGAGGACAATTTAGAAAAGGTGTTTGATCCCAATGTGTTTACCTTCGGCCTGGGGAGTAAGAAAGAAAGCCAGCCTGAAGTGTCACCGGCTTTACAACTGATGCAGAACCTTGACACAAAATCAAAACTGAGGCCCAAACGTACATCCACCGAGCAGAGTGTCCTCTTCAAGTCCTTGCACACTCACACTAATGGGAAGGATGAGCCTCTGGTGACTCCAGAGATAAATGGCAAAGAGAACAGGGACGTCACCAGTGGTGGAGTTAAGAGGTCAAGACTAGAAAAAAGCGCGCTGTTTTCAAGCATCCTATCTTCTTTACCACAAGACAAAATCTTTTCTCCCTCTGTGACCTCAGTCAACACAATGACCACATCTTTCAGCACTTCTCAGAACACTTCTCTTTCTCGCTTTTCCACGTCACAGCCGGTGGCTGAGGGTGCCCCACCCTGCGGTTCAGACAAAGAACAGCCACATCTTCTACCCAACAACTCCTTGAAGGTCTTCAATTTTGATTCTTCAAGTACCTCTCATTCGGGTCTAAAAAGTCCAAGCTTCATGGAAACCAAAAAAGATCTGGACTCACAAAGCAATCTACACTTGTCAGAAAACAAGGCTAATCAAATTGAGAATGTCTTGAAGTCCAACTTGCCGAACTATGGAAACAGTGAAACGGACTACGTGGGTCTCTTCAAATCCAACCGGTTTGACCCAAGCATGTCTTTCTCTGGAATGTCATTATCAGATACCACAGTAAGTAGCACTGTAGCATCACTATTGGGGGCATTTAGAAAGTGAGAGGACACAGGGACGGTGAACAGTATGTGTTATTTTTGTAGAAATGGCTATGCTCAAGTGTGGCAGTTTCTGTTTTTCACGTATTTACAAATGTATGTGAAAGGTTTGTAGCGGTGCAGAGAGGAACCTGTTGCAAAATCTGGTGCATAGGTCATGCCGCTGGAGTCAGAGAAAATGCTGCCCATCCAGACTCAAAGTCAGGGCAACAGAACACCCTTGCTGGCTGAATCCAGCCCCACTGATGTCTGTGGCAACAATGTGACATGGATGGCCCAGGACATCCTAGGAAAGTGGTACTAAGATTCAGTTCTCAAGACATTCATAGCCTAGCAGGGAAAGTATGCTAGAAATAGTTTAAGGTATTTGTGAATTTATGTGTTGTCTTATAAAAGGTGTAGCTAAGGTATCTTAAAAGTTCAGAGACAAGAAGATTTTTTTTACCAGGTTCTGTGTAAAAATATTCAACACTATACTTTGAATTTTGGAGATTTGTAAAGAAAATTCCTTTATTTGGAAAAGCCTGCCCAGGAATCTTATTCCTACTCTTCTCTTCTGCTGTGAGATCCCCTTCCCATCAGTAATAAAAAATGTCTATCCTTTGCAGTTAAGACAGTACTTTTTCTCTTCATTTGGAATTAGTTTTCATAAGGGATATGTTTTTTTCTGCAAAATTGCTGGGGAATTTTGGTGAACAATGAGTCTTTCCTTTGATATTGTAGAGAGAGCAGAAAAATAGGATTTTGAGCAATAACTGATTTTTTTCATCTTTTTATCTGACTGCCAGAAGTTGTCTTCTCTACTCAGTTTTTAAGATGAATTTATCAAGTTATCAAGCTTAATACCCAAGTTGAAGGACAAAGAAAGAGGAAGGCAGAGTTTAAGGTTTAGAGGTTGGCTTTGCTAGTCCAAAACCAGGAACGGGCCTCTGAAGCCTGCTGCCCGCCCTGTGAGCCAGTCTGTGTGGCAAGTGTAGACCATCACCCAACGCAGCTTATGGGGCAGAGAGTCCTGGTGCCCTTCCTCATTTGTACCATCACTGCAGCATGTCTGCCTGTCTGTTGGTTTTTCTTACAAACCTATCATGCAACATAATTTGGAAAGCTCTTTCAAAATATACAGTTGGGTTTGTGGTAAAGGCTCACATCCCTCTTTTTAAAAGTTGTTAAACATTTTGTTTCCAGATCTTTCCATGTTTAAAAATTACTGAGGTTCCCAAAGAACTTTTGTTCATATGGGTTATGCCTATTGAACTTTATTGCATTAGGAATTAACACTGAGAAAAATTTAAAACCTGTTAACCCACATGGGCATGGTCCATTATTAGCCACAAGTGCAATATGATCACATGACAGTGGAATTTTCCACTGTCCACTTATGAGAAAAAAAGAGTAGAAAAAGTTAAATTCTTACTATGAAAATTATTTTGACCTCATGGACTCCTGGAAAGGATCTTGAGGCTCCTTCAGGGGTTTTAGGACCACACTTGACAACTGTAACTGTAAACAAAAACTAAATCTGCTTGTAGCACTCAGAAATCATAAGGTTTTTATGAGTTTTTCTCTCAAGCACAAAATTTCTTTTGGTCCATTTCCCATTCATTATATCCTTATTCTCATTTTTAATCATTCTTAGATTGCTTTTCTTATTTGACAACAGTCTGATGGTTTGACAACAGAGTATATAGTTTCCCTATGAAATCCCTTGAAAATCAAGCCAAATGGAGAAATAAGGACTTAATACTTTCTCTAGACATTTTTATTACTAATTTTTTTTTTGCTTTTGTTTAGGTACTGGATTTTGTTGAATATATAACTATTCTAACTTTAATGGTTTACCTGAATTTTGTTTTAAATGTCAGGGTATTTCTTCAGCTTCTCTACTTCAAATACATACATATAGATAAATAGATATATACCATTTTGATTTCTAATAATGTTCTTCTGAGGCCTTTCGATGCTCTTGGGCACATGCCATATGGGTGTAATACAAGAATGAGCAGATCAAAGGCAGTCCTTAGAATAGGCATCCTCACATTGAAAGTAGTCCATGTTTTATAATATTTTTACATATATAATTACTATTTTTATTATCGTATGCATTTCTGGTTTTACTGGTTTTGTTAGATGGGTTTAAAAATGATTGGTTTTGGAGCCATATAAAATGTATTATGTCCATCAAAAAGGGAGGACTAAAATATAGCATGTAAATATATGCGTGAAATATGCCATAATGTTTTTTATGTAGACTTGTACTTATTATATGATGACAGATGTTACTATGAACAAGTAATATTTATAAATTCAGATAAAGTGTATATATGAACACACACAATTGATTCAGCTAATTCTAGGTAGATGGCTAATACATTATAATTTCTCTTTATTTGAGATTATGCTGAGATAATTTGAATATAATCTCAGCTGAGTCCTTATTCTCTGAACTAATGTAAAAGAGGACTGACTCTGGGACCCTGAATTTTCTACACTGGTAGAAATATCCTAGGCATTTAAAAGAGGAGAAATTGAAATGACAGATTCAGAGGGATTTAAAAGTTCTTAACAGTATAGACTCAGTTTTAATACAACTTTGGCTTAGATTAGGGTGATATGTTTCAAAACTGATAAATTCTGAGGCAAATATGATCTTATTTAAAGGATTATGGGAGGAGAAGAGAGGATTTTTATGCAAAGTTTAATTTGATGTGTTTTTGTTCATCTGATTACAGACACTTAGAGGAAGTGTCCTAAATAAAGTCAATCCCCGACCTGGAAAGGTAAGATTTTTTATTTCTAACCCAGATTTTATTTAGATCTGATAAAGCACAATACATGCTACCATTCTCATTTTCCTGTAGGTGGTGGTATATGGAGAACCAGATGTCTCTGAGAAGTGTATTGAAGTTTTTGGGGACATACAGGATTGCAGCTCTTGGAGCCTCTCTCCTGTGATACTCATAAAAGTTGTACGAGGATGGTAAGAATGGAGTTCCTGACTAGATAGGGTTTTGTTTTACATTTTTAATTACCTTTCTGTCTTTAGTACTTATTTTAAATTATATCTTTAGCAGTATAAAGGGCAGAAAATGGTAGTCTAGAACATGCTAGAAACATGTTTTTTTAATCATGTTTCTGATTATAGGGGGTGATACAGATTTATGCTAGAAAAATCAGAAGGGCAACAGCACGCGTTTCTTCTTCCCATGTATTTCTCTACTTGTGGGCTGAGGCCAGTGAACAGAGTGTATAATATTTTTGGTTTGTGACTTTTCAGTGAGGTTAATGAGAATTGCACTAGTCATGTTGTTAGGATTTTAGAAATTCTGTATGTGAAGACATTTTCGCTAACCTTTTTATGACAATTAAATGAAAAACTAACCTAAAATCGAATTTACTTTCTAACTTTTCAATAACGGATAGTTAAGATTAACTTAAGATTAACTGGTGAAAAGATCTCACCAGCTTAATTGCTTTTAGGAAAATACACAAGAAGTTGAATGAAGAAAAAAAGCACTTTAAAAAAAAATCACTTTTTTGACATACTAATCTTTGGTGCCTATTTATAAAGGTGTTTGAAATAAAAGGCTCTAGACATTTGTGGTTTAAAAAATTAGTAAAGACCAAATTAAAACTTTGGTCTCCATTTAATTAAACATATAGTATCATTCTTATTAGGTTTTTAGATATTTTAATGCATTTTCTATGTATTAATACATTTTTAATACATTTCTATACAAAGAAAATGTATTAAATTTAGATGTTGTTGGGAAGAGTATTTTAAAAATGCTTCCATTAACATGCATAGAGTTCCTTGTGTCTATATCCATTGGAAAACCTTTAAAATACAAGTTAAAATCCCTTAGGAGAAATTTTTCTATGCATATAAGGAGGGAAAAAAAAACATGACAGTAAAAGTCCCTTTGTCTGATGTATCACTATTCACATTAGTTGGCAATTCCGTAGAATTAGTAGCTCTAGGTAGCATTCATATTGATAACCAAAAGTTCTCTAAGATTATGATATTATTCTTGAATTATCAGAGGCTTAATTTTATTTGGCATAGTTTTAGGGAGAGTTTATACTATTTTAATTGCTAGAGAATTGACTAATATACTATATACATATATGGTAGTTATTTACCAAAATATTTGTGTCATCAAAACCTCTCTGTCCAACACTGGCTGATAGTTTTGCTGTGTTTTATTGATAGTTGGATTTTGTATGAGAAACCAAACTTTGAAGGGCACTCCATCCCCTTGGAAGAAGGAGAATTGGAACTCTCTGGCCTCTGGGGTATAGAAGATATTTTGGAAAAAAGTGATGAAGCAGAGTCTGCCAAGTCTGTGGTGATTGGTTCAATCAGACACGTGGTTCAGGTAGGTTGTAGGAAAACTAATTTTATCCATTCATTCAGCAAATAATTACTTTATGCCAGAGATGAGTTTTACTTTGAAAGAAAGGTTGTTTTTGGAAATAAATGATTGAGAAAAATATATGATTGCTGCTTATGGATATATTTTTTGCAACTGAAGTATTTGTACGCTTTAAATGAATTAGAAAAAATTTTATGTCTTTTTTCCCCCCAATAATTTCTGAAGGTAAATTTCTCATTCCTGGCCCCATTTCTATTACCAAATGTTTTTTATTTAGTAGCCTGGTTTTCCTAAGTTCTATCTGAACAGATTTTTTTTAACCTTGTTTTTTGTTGTGTACTTTCTATCACCTTGAGTGGCTTAAAGGAATTCTCTTTTGGAAAATAAATAATCCAGAAATAATTCAGTTGCTAGTTCGGCTGTGAGGTTTCATGTGGGTTTTTAAACAAAGATATTTGAGGACACTTTATGGATTGGGTAAAATATCTTGGTTCCTTATTTGTTGATAAAGAAGAAATTGTATCACAATCTTTTTTTGTGAGTCACTTGGGATTTGATTATTATCTACCTTTTAAAAGGTAATTAATGGAATCTTCCAAATGGAAAATTAAAGCCTCCTTGTGTAATATAGATGGTGTTGTGGTGCAATAGGGAGAAAGAGAACATTCTCAAATGAAAATAAGTAACAGTTTTTGTGAGAGGAAAATGTCACCTGTTTCCCAGATCAACATTTCTGAGTAACTTAGGTGATTAGTAACATTCTGCATGATTTATCTTTTAATAATTTTAAGTATTTATAATGTAGTAAACCATATGTAAGATATGAGAAACCCAGTGAAATAAGCCAGAAGGAAAAAGAAAAATATGAGATGGTTTCACTTATAACAGGAATATAGGGGAACCAAATAAGATATCAGTGTAAAAAAAATAATAACAGTACAAAACACAACAAAGCAAAAACAATTAAAAATCATACTGCAGGGCCTCCCCAGTGGCACAGCGGTTGAGCACCGGGTTGTGAAGCTGCCCGCTCTGCAGCACTGGTTCGATTCCCGGCTGCTCCCCGGCCACCGGAGGAGGGTCCCACATGGCGCGCCGACCTCTCCTGCCGCCCGCTGCTCCCCTCAGCAGTGTACTTCGGTCCTTCTGCCTGCTCTGCTCTCCCCTCTGACTCTGGTGAATTCTTTCACCCTCCTGCGCTTCTGACTGTACCCAGTGCTTGTATAAATAAATAAATAAATAAATAAATCTTAAAAAAAAAATTAAAAAAAAAATCATACTGCAGGGGAGGAGGAGGGAGAGGGATCAGAGGGAGGGAGGGAGGGAGGGAGGAAAACAGGAGACTGAGGTGATGGTGCACGGGTGCCTTGGGGAAGGAAATGCTATGGGGACTACACCTGAGGGGGTGGGGGGAAGAAAATACTGTTTGACAAAAAAAATAATAATAAAAAATTTAAAAAAGATATGAGAAACCCCGTTTAAGAGTATCATAGTGAAATAATATATCTGCAATTTTTATTTATTGGTGTAGCATTAGGAAGGGCCAGAGCAGGATCTCTGTGATCTGAGCAGACGGGGTAAAGGAAAGTCTGGGAGCCCTCGGTGGCTTTTTCAGGCTTTTATTGGGATTTACCAGGTACACAGCAGGCCGGGGTGCTGGGGTCGGGGAGGCTGGCAGGCCTCTCCCTCACCCAACCCAGAATCTTCACTTGTTACTGGGCTCTCTGGTGTTCTCTTGTGGTCTCTGCTTCTCTGCTGCTTCTCTTCCTGTCTGTCGCTTGTTCTCTTGGCGCCCCCATGATGCCGCCCTTAAAAGTCCAGTCTCAGCACAGGTGTACCCACCTACGTATGCCCACACTCCACTGCAGGTGCCCACCATCAGGCATGCATTTAATCTAATGGCAGGAGGGCAAAAAACTTGATACTTTGTACTTACCCTACAATTGGTTAAATGATATTTGTAATAAAACAGTGTTTTAAAAACCTAAACCCCACCATCCTTGGAGGGTCCTCTCCCTCATTTTTCTGGATTCTTTGTTCTTTCTTGGGTTTATTGTAACTTTTTCTTTAACTGTAATCGTACTTCAGGTACAGTGTTGTTTCCTTTTTTTCACTTACTACTATGGTTCGCAATCTTTTTTTTTTTTTCTCTCCACAACATTCTTTTCCTGAAAATCACACTGCCATTGCCATTGATTTGCAACTGAGGGAAGTAACGGGATCTGGTGGGGTGAGGATTTAGGAACATCCACGAAGGTGGGGTAAAGGAAATGACGTGTATTGGTGTAGAGGCCCCCTGTTTAGCCTGATAAGAGCAGACTTAATAAAGTTAGTGCTTTACTATGTGGTTAAGAGTTTAAGCGGGTATCATAGTCCACGATGTACCATGGTTTATTTTACTGTTCTTTTTCCATGCAACATAAGGTTGTTTCTAGTTTCTTAAGAATATTTAAATAAAAGAATAACATTTTTGTGTTTGATAATTTATAATTTTCTGATTTTTTTGGTCCCTTGGGGTACATTTTTTGAATGATGTCATATTAAAGAGTCCTGCTAGCTCATGGACTATATTTTTTACAGATTGCGTTCATGGTTTCTTGAAGTGTGAACATAAGTTACAATATGTATTCAAAAGGGTCACCTCTAGGATCATTAGATTTGTTTCTTTTGGTAATTTTGAAAGGCTTCCATGAACTAACCCAAGTGTTACCGTTTCTTTAGCACCTCAATTAACCTAACTCAGCAACATGAGAAAGATTCAGTAAATACTCAGTTAGCACTTAGCACTCAGCTGGCAGCAAGGCTGAGGCATGGGTGTTTGGGGCATGGAGGGCGACCAAAGAGCAGAAATTTGTTAATGATCATATATGTGTGCCTTTGCCTAGATCAAATCTTAGCGGTTTAGTCATAGTCAAGGAGATAATCACTGTAAGGCTCTGGGCCCAAAGCAGCAGGTGGGGAAGACTCCAGACCCAACCACTTTCTGGATTAGAGTCTTCCCTTGGATGATCATGTCTGAGTAAAGGAACCTAAGTTCCTCTGTCACCAAAGAATGCCACGTAATTTTTTTTAGTGAGGATGAGAGAAATTTTTTCAAAAATTCTAGCAAGATATATTTCTGGCAATCTTTGCTTGAATGTAATTGGGACGTATGACTAAAGCAGTGTTTCTGCCCCCAGAGATGCATATTACTAAGTCATGGGTGAAGTGGGTAAGAAACAAAATGACAGGTGCTCTGTGGACTATATTGAAGGCTTATTTTTATCATTTGAAAAGGGAATAATGAGATTACTGTAGAGTGAAATATGTGGCACAGTTATAATATATATCTCTTCTTTTCTTAGGATTACAGAGTTAGTCAAATTGATTTATTTACTGAACCAGAAGGGTTGGGAATCCTGAATTCCTACTTTGACGACACTGAAGAGATGCAGGGTTTTGGTGTGATGCAGAAAACTCGTTCCATTAAAGTACATCAGGGCACGTAAGTATTTTGTTTCAGATACAATTTTAATGAGTTTTTTTGGGGGGGAGAGTGCAGTACTCAGAGGAGGACTTAAGATGTTCTGTCTGATTTGTTGTTAAACAATTATTGACCAAAAAAAAGCACTTTCAATAAGGCACATAAAATTCTGATTCTTTTGTACCTTTGTGCTAAGTTCATCTTAGAAATAAAAACAATTTATTGGAGGAAGTTCAGGGGAAAAGAAACTGCATTTTTAATGTAGGGATTTCCTGATCATAGAGGAACCTGATTTTTTAAACCCGAATAGCAGTTTATACCTTCATGGTAATTTAAGGCTGGTAAACATGTGCCGCTGCTATTTCACTTGGGCCGGAGGCCAACACACATGGAACTTCCGTTAACATTTTCACACAATGCTATCCAAAGCCCTAGGATGTTGATTTCACAAATCACAGGAAAGGGCAAGAATATTTTGAAGGAAACGGGATAGCTCACATGGAGGAATCAGAATAAAAAGTACAGATTGCAGTTTTGAAGATCTCTCTCAAAGTGGAATGCAAAGGCCTGGGCATGTGAAAGACCTCCACTGAGAGGCAGATAAAAAACATTAAAGCTTTTTTCATTTAATTAAAAGTCCCCTTTAAAGATTTCATTTCTGTACATGTTTTCTAATTTTATAACCTGCTAGTTCAGTGGCTCTAAATATATACATATATATATATATATACACACACACCTGTGTATGTATTTTTATATATATTCATATATTCAGAGAATGTGCAAGTTTTTAATGGTATATGCATATGCCACAACATATGTAATATGTTAGATACTACAAGAAACAAATTATAAATAGGGACAGTGGTGCTACTTTTAGATCGGGTGGCCAGGCAGAGCCTCTGGTGACATTTAAGCAGATTGAGGAAGGAGGTATGGAGTCCGTCTCAGGGCTGTCTGCAGGAGGAGGGGCCCAGGCAGGAAGTGCCCCAGGCAGGAAGCACAGTTTGCTCCAGCTGGACCTGCTTGGGCAATAGCTAGGTCAAGATGCCTGGAGTAGAGTGAATTTGGGAGACAGGCCTCATGTCCTGTCAGGCTTTTTAGGCTTTGGAGGGACTTTAGATGACTCTAAGTGACATGTGGGGTGTCAGTGGGGTATTTTGATCTAATGTGTGTTTTAGAAACACTGTAGCTGCTACGAAGAAATAGATTGTAAAGAGGCAAGAGTGGAAGTAAATAAAACAGGAAGCCATTGCAATCATGTAGATATGATGGTTTCGTGGGCGGAAATGGTCAGATTCTGGATACATTTTGAAGGAAGAACTGACTTTTCCTGACAGAATGTGCACTGACTATGAGGGACTGAGAAATGCCAGGGTCGGGGACCCCAGTGTTTATTGGGATGGAGAAAACTTGGAGGACCAGTTTAGGAGGGAATGTGAAGTTCTAGAGCTGTTTCAGAGAGGTTAAGTTGGAGTTGCCAACTGCATGTCCAAGTAAGACGTCAGGAAGATGACTGGATATATGACACTAGAGTTCATAGGGGGAGGCCGGAGGTAGAACTTTCAGAGTCATCAGCATGGAGAAGGTGGTTAAAGCACACATTGTATGAGAGGACCATTAACAAAAGAAAATGTCCTCTCCTGCTGCCTCTAAGATTTTCACATTTAAGAGATCTATACATCTTTGTTTCCTAAAGTACTAATGTTGAGAAATACCACTTTTTTTAAGAAAAGAATGAAATAGTCATCTGCCATAATACTTTAATCTCAATGTGTGGAAGGTTTTATGACTCAGACTTAGGCTATTTTGAAGTATAATGAGCTACATTTTAATGTTTCTGACCCTTATAGTAAATCTGACTTTGTCTCATAGGTGGTAGTTACTAAATTGTCACAGCTTACAGTTTATGATGGGCTTGCACAGCAATGAAGTCTTTTTTTCTGGCTGATCATTTCTGTTATTGTTAGGCTAATAGAAAGCTGTCTGGGATGCCAATTCAAAGTTTGAGCTCTCTGAACTTGTTTGGTCAGTTTTGGGGCAGGACATTAGTACTTTTACTGATCTTCAAAGAGAGTCTGAATGCTTTGGGAGAACTCAACTGATAAAAGTACTAGAGCTCATTTTGTTTCTATTGGTTGACTAGTTCCCTGAACTGGTATAAGAGAAGTCTTTCTAAGTTTTTTGGATTCCATTAGGTTTATTCCAGGGCTTACTCACTCTGGATTAAGTTCTTTATACATACACAAAATAAGGGGTATTATCTGTCAAATTCATATTTGGGAAAATGAGTAATTTCTAACTAAAATTTTCTTTTAGATTCTGTTGAGTATCATTTATTTTTAGATCTTCATTTTAAGGAGTTGGCTAATGCCAGTACCCATCCTCTCAGGAGTAATGATCTACCTTCATCTTTTGTGTGTGTGTGTGTATTTCTAATAAATAAAACCAAGTAATTTTAGAACCTTGAAGTTAAAAAACATTTATTACAGCACATTCAACGTTAGGATTTGTCGTTAGCAGAATAGATACTAGAATGCAGGTGTCCTGAAGTCAAGGGGCTCTTTTTTTTTTAATAGCCAAATAGTCCTTGACCAGTTTTATTATGAAATTTTGATAAATAGGGAAGAACAGATGTGTATTTGTGAATTATGAAGGCTGGTTATAAAACAAAGCCCTTTGTGCCCACCACCCAGCTTAGGGCCTCACCATTAACAACACGGCCACAGCACCCAGCACCTAGCCCCATTCCAGGATTTCACACATATAACCCTTCTCTGGAATTTTGTGTTTTCTCACTCCTTTATTTTCGGTTCCACCCTATAATGTCTTGTCCTGCAGGATTTCAGTTGTGCTTGCTTTTGAACTTTATAAAAATGTTGCTGAACTTCTCTGTGGCTTGTTCCCTTTTTCTTCGTTGTTTCTAAAAGTATCCATATTGATAGGTATATTTGTATTTTATTTTTTCATTGCTGTATAATATTTACTGTGTATATTTCCTTGTGGCATATATCATCAAAACCCAACTTTTTATTATGAAAGTTTTCAGACACAAAGTGGAAGGTTTAAGTTCAGTTAGTTAGTTCACTTAGACTCTGCAATTAACATTTTGCCATTTTGCTTTCTTTTTCTCTTAACACTTAAAAAGTTGCAGTATCATGACCTTTCATTCCTATGTACTCCAGCCTGTCTTTATAATGACATTCTCCACACAACTGTCATTATCACGCCAAATAAAATGAACAGTAAGTCTATGGTAATAGCTACTTTGTGGCCCATAACCAGATTTTCCCAGTTGTCTCAAGAGTGTCTTTTATGGACTTTTTTTCCTAATCAGGATCCAATCAAGGTTCATTTAAATATGTTTGCCTATTCTGGCTCTTTAAATCTCTCTTATCTCTAAAGTACCCCCATTTTTGCTTCCCACACCACTGGCTTTTGGAAGAATTTAGGCCTGATAATGTGCCACTTTCTGCGTTTGTCTTGATATTTCCTCATGATGTCATTTAACTGTGCCTGTATTTTCTGTACATGAGCCAGGTCTACAGGTATGATGTGATACAGGCGACACAGTCTTGGATACTTCACGCAGACAGTGCTGCATAGTCACCTTGTATCACAAAGGTGGCATGTGCTCACCAGCTTCCCATTAATGTTACCAAATTGCATTGCCTGGCTAAATCAGTGACTCCCACACCGTTGCGTGGTCACCGCACATTTTCCTCCTTTAGACTTTTGAATAGCCTTAAAGTTGGCACATTCATAATTGATCTTTTGATTATTCAGTTGGTTTCTATAAATCACCATCGCGTGCAGCCATGCCTGGAGAATAAGACTTAGGATCCCACAGAAAATACTGTTTTTAGTTTAAGAACAAGTGAACGAGGTAAAACTAATTTTTCATCTGTGACTCAAAGGGAATTTCTAAAAGAGTAATTACACAAATGTTTTTAATAAACAGATAGATGGCCATTTTTATTGCCTCAGCAATATTTGTATTCACACATTTGTTATGTTCATTTGCTATTTTTTTTTAAAAGCTCATACTTTAGATTTGTAGTGTTTATTCAGAATATAGGTGAGAGCTCATTACCTAAGTACATGGAAAAATACAAGAGTGCCTTTAGAAATTGAAATAACACTGCCTGAAGATAGGTTCCCCCTCTCCTGATGGCCTCATAAATCATGTATCTTGTTGGAATAGAATTTAGTAAAAATGAATCATCTCTGAACATGAGCTTTCAAATTCCAAAATCCACCCAACATTTATGACTGCCTGGTTGAGTTATCCAGCAAGCCCTTAGCACTCTCTAAGGAAATAGTCTCAGAATAGCAGTATTTTCAGATATATCAGCTTATATGTTCAGTTTTTCAGCACATTTCCACTTACCCAAAATTACCTTCCTTCTATAAACTGCATGCTTTACCAAGAGTGAAATGTTTAGTATCAGGTGAACAAGTCCCCTTAGAACTCAAACTGCAGGAGAAAAATCTTAATGAAAGTGTACTTCATAAAGTATAACATTAAGTTGTGTTTGCAGAAGAGTCAGCCCATTCCCTTGAGAGGAGTCACACTTGGAGGCCTTGGCTTGGCAGCCTACTAGCATGATTCATGGCAAATTGTTCTTACAACAGCAGGGCATGAAACCATGTGTGGTGTGACTGAGAGTTTAGAACTCCAAAAAAGAGAAAACATGTATCAACTGTCATGCTCTCAATGTAAGAAAGTTTAAAAGACCCTGCTCTTAGCCTGTTTTGGTGTGGTTTTAGGGGCATTATAGTGGTATTTAAAAGATAAGTCTCTCTTTTTTTAAAGATTTACTTATTTATGCATACAAGAGCTGGGGTACAGGCCAGAGGTACAGGGGGTGAGAGGATTCACCAGAGACAGAGTGGGGAACAGAACAGGCAGATCCACTGAAATACACTGCTGATGGGAGCAGGGCGAGAGATGAGAGGTCTGCTGTGCCGTGTGGGTCACTTCCCTGGCCAGGGATGGAACTCATGCTGCAGTGGCTGCTGACAGCTTCATAGTGCTGACACTTAACCCCTTGCACCACCAGGGTGGCCCCGATAAGTCTCTTTTTTAATTGAAGTATCTTTATAACATTTGTACAAAAAGGTACACAACAAATCACAATATATAATCTGAGTGAATTTTCACAAACTATAACCATCACCCAAATCAACAAGCAGAACAGAACCAGTCTCTCAGAAGCCCTGCATTCGCGCCCCTTGGCTGTTCTCCTCCTGTAATTACCCTCACTCCTCACACTGTAGATTAGTTTTGATCTCCCACCCATATACCACACACAGCCTCTCAACATTCCTGTGTGTGTGTTGACAGGTGTTCAGTCGGATCCTGATTGTAAATCCCTATATAATTAGTGAGGCTTTCCAGGGGAATCTTTAACCAAAAAATTACCAAAAATGTACCCTTGGGCCAACATAAGGAACAAGTGAAATGCTAAGAGGGAGACTCAGACCCTTTTTGCTGGTAGCAGATTCCATTCACAGCCGTTATCTTCTTGGCACACACCCCCCACACATCGTGTGGGGAACACGATGGAGCGCCTCGGCCAGGACGGTCAGTGAGACAAACGGTCGCCTGGGGAGTGATCACCGGGGATTCTAGATTAGTTTTTAAAAGGGGTCCTCTACCAACTCCCATATATAAGAGGTCACACGCTTCTCCAGCAACCTCACTTCCCAGGACTCTCCCGGAAATGAGGACAGTGAGGAGCCCACGGTCTGTAGAGACGGTTAGAACAGGCATGCTTTTCTGGTTTCCTGGCTTCTCTAGAAGGGTGGGGCTGGTGGTTTCCTGGCCACAGCAGAAGTGACAGCTGACAAGTCTGATAGAAGGGAGAGGTATTGAAGCCATAAAAATCAGTACAAGAGCTCAAAGAGCCTTGGGGGCTGGGAACAAGCAGCCTTACAGACTTTCAGTGCCCCGAGGACACCAGTGACGACCCTGAGTCCGTGAAGAGTATGTTCGGTGCACCCACTGTAATGAGAAAAACTGCCATCAAAAAAATGTTTAGGGGCTGACCCCAGGCAGCGTGGTCAGCCCTGCCTTTGGTAATTACAGCTGCGTGGCCCTGGGCACTGGGCCTCCACTGTAAAATGGGGAGGATGGTGTTTCTTCCTCATAGCACTGTTGTGGGAATGGGGTGGAATTCTGAGTGGTATTCCTTGTAATCTGTAGGTAGATGTTATCAATAGTTATTAACTTTTGTTGTTAACATTAATTTGGGTGGATGATTAGGTGGAACAGCCTATTCTTTAGTTACAAATAAGGCCTTACCTTTTCAAACAAAGCTTGAGAGTTTCTACCTAGGGCCCCTCTGGAGACAAGCATTGTACACGGCAACTATCAAAGCCATTGGCTTCGAATAAGATAAATGGACGGAGCCAACCAAGGAGAGAAGTAAAAGATCAAAAAGGGCCGCATATAGAAAGGCTTATTTATTCCTCCTTGCGTCTGACAGCACACACAACACTATGTATCTGGCCATCAGCCAGATCATTGTCCTCTCCTGTTCTGTTCCTCTCCCATCGGGGCACCTGATGAAATAAATGATGAATTGTCTCTGTTATCTTCCTTGGTGCTTATTTAGGTGGCTGGTTTATGAAGGACCTGGATTTCAGGGTGTCCCTTTTATACTGGAACCTGGTGAATACCCTGACTTGTCCTTCTGGGATACAGAAGAAGCCTACATTGGATCCATGCGTCCTCTGAAAATGGTAAAAATGGAATTTAACAAAGTTCAGTGATTCTTTGCCATATGACATTGACAATTCATAGGCTGTGATTTTGAAGCAAGAAGCAAACGTGTGAAAAAGAAGATTGCTAGGTGGAAATAAAGACTAACTTGCTAGGTGTAACAAATGAGAAAATGTGGCTAGGCCCATGTCCTTTGCCGTTAAGGCATTCTGGGCCTTTCAGAACCACAGATGTGTACATGAAGATGCCCCCCAGGGATGGTTTAAAAAATGGAGAAAGTGAGGGATTAACCTTTGTGGAAAACAGCTAGAACGACAAACTCCATTTGGTGGGTGACAGAAAGGGAGATGTGTAGGAGACCATGTTGAATCAGTTTGGATCTTAAAACCAAGCAGGATCATTTTAGGATGGGGATGTCAGTGAACACACGCTAAGCCATGGTGAAACCGGAAGGACAGGGCACACTGAGGAATACCCAGTCTCAGTGACAGGATGCTGTGCTGGGTGGCATCTTCGGAGGCGCTGGGGCTGCGAGTCTGTTGAGTGCTTGCTTCACAGAAGCCTGTGCGTTCTCTAGCCTTCCACTGTATTTTTGCCTTGCTCTTTGCTGCTGCTGCTAGAGGCCAAGCCTCGAGAGGACCTGGGTTGCAATTCTCTTGTCCCTCACTGATAGCAGGTGCTGGCAGCCTCCTGTGGCAGGGGTAAGGCTCCTGAGTCAGTTTGGAACAAATTAGAAAATCAGGAAGATAAATTTTTATCTTAATTTTACCCCTCCTGCCAAAGCATATGGCTGAATTATCTGCATGTTGGCTGGTCTTACTGTGAATGATTTGGGGATTGTTTCTAAAATGAAATCCACTTTCAAAGAACAAAGTTTTTGTTAGTTTTGTGAATGAGTGAAGGCACTGACTGAGGTTTTGAAAGCATTTTTTAATGATGATTTACAAAACTGTGAAGGTTCCGGCATTTGAAAAGGATTACTTTAGAAAAGGGTACTTGATTGTATAAACTCAGGTTTGCTGATAACATCAGCCACATTCCTTTATAATTACAGTTCATTGGTGCACTGGAGCTTCTTTGGTTGGATTTTTTTTTTTTAGCTGTTAAACATAAATTGGTGAAAAATACCCTGTGACTTTCCCACTGCTGATTTTAACTAACTTGTTGGATATTTCTATGTAATGCCTTTTCAGTGGTATATTTTTAGTGAGTTTTTTTATTTTTAAAAACTTTTTTTTCTTTTCTCAATTTTTTAAATTTTTTTTTTTTTTTACATCTTTGTTCATTTTTAAACAATACTTGCTTCCCCCCACCCTCTCAGGTGTGCTCCCCATAGAGTTTCCTTCACCAATGCACCCGTGCGCCATCACCTCAGTCCCCTGTGCTCCTCCCTCTCCCTCCTCCCCTGCAGGATGTCTCTGATTTGTAATTGTCTGTTATTGCTTTGTTGTGTTACTATTTTTTTACACTGATGTCTTATTTGGTTCCCCTATATTCCTGCTGTAAGTGAAACCATCCGATATTTTTCTTTTTCCTTCTGGCTTGTTTCACTGAGTATAATTCCTTCTAGCTCCATCCACATTGCTGTGAATGGCATAATTTTATCTTTTTTGATTGCTGAATAATATTCCATTGTGTATATATACCACATCTTCTTGATCTAGTCATTTATTTTTGGGCATTTGGGTTGTTTCCAGGTTTTACCTATTGTAAATAGTGCTGCAGTAAACATAGGGGTACAGGTCTTTTGAATCAGTTTTTGTGTCCTTTGGGTAGATCCCTAGGAGTGGAATTGCCATGTCATATGGTAGCTCCATTTTTAGTAGACTGAGGAACCTCCAGAGAGCTTTCCATAGTGGTTGGACCAGTTTGCACTCCCACCAGCAGTGTAGGACAGAGTTCCTTTTTCACCACATCCTTGCCAACATCTGTTGTTGCTTGTTTTTTTGATATGTGCCATTCTTACTGGTATAAGGTGGTATCTCAATGTGGTTTTGATTTGCATTTCCCTGATTATAAGGGATGTTGAGCATTTTTTCATTTGCCTGTTGGCCATTTGCATTTCCTCTTTGGAAAAGTGTCTTTTAAGTTCTTTTGCCCATTTCTTGACTATATTGTTTATTTTATTTTGTTGAGTCATGTGAGTTTTTGGTATATCTTTGTGATCAGTCCCTTGTCAGTTGAATGGAGTGCAGAGATTTCTTCCCAATCAGTGGGGTGTCTCTCTGTTTTGGTTAATGTCTCTTTTGCTGTACAGAAGCTTTTCAGTTTGATGTAATCCCAGGTGTTTCTTTTCCTTGACTATCTTTGCTTTGGGTGATGAGTCTTTAAAGATGTTATTGCAATGTATGTCTTGTAATTTACCTATATTTTCTCCTATATATTTTATAGTTTCAGGTCTTATGTCCAGTTATTTTATCCATTTTGAGTTGATTTTTGTGCATGGTGAAAGGTAGTGGTCTAGTTTCATTTTTTTGCATGTTTTCCAGTTTTCCCAGCACCATTTATTGAACAAACTGTTCATGTTCCATTGCATGTTCTTTGCTCCTTTGTCAAAGATCAGTTGACCATCTAAGTGTGGTTTTATTTCTGGGCCCTCTATTCAGTTCCATTGGTCTGTTTGTCTGTTTTTGTTCCAATACCAAACTGCTTTAATTATTATGGCTTTGTAGTATAGCTTGAAGTTTGGAAGTGTGATACCTCCCTTCTCCTTTGTTTTCATCAAAAAACTTTTTTATTATAAAAGTTTAACAACATTTCTTGTCCATAGAACCACCCTTTGGGATGGTACCCATTTTATCTAGCCATTTCTCTGATGCTTTCAAGAGTCCTCCAAATCATAATGTTAACATGTGTGAACTTCAGCAGTTTTGTAAGTCGTGGATTGCAAAATCAAATGCCTCCAGGGTGAGGTGGCAAATAGTTGAATCCAGGGATTAGTGGAGACAGGCAAACAGGACCAATGTTCCAGCTGGAAGTTGAGCCAAGGTAGGGCTAGAGAGTACAGAAGGTGAAGGTTGCTGACTCTGAGAATTTGGGGCCAGAGATGTCAGATCTTAGGTTGGTTTTTAAGAGAAACAAGAAATACACACTTTTTAAAGAAATTTACTGAGTTTAAAAAAAAGCCCTAAAACTTATTGGGTAAAAAAACATAGCTAACAAGCAAATCCAATTTATAGACTGACCAGCACTGCGAGACACATGTTATCTTCATTTCTTTATCTGCACTGTTGGTAATTTTAGAACTCCCTCAATGGAAATTAAATTGGAATTGTTTTTCTCTTTTTTCTTTTCAGGGTGGCCGTAAAGTTGAATTCCCTACAGATCCAAAGGTAAAAATATATTTAAAATTTTATTCCCATTCCATGTTCAGAAAGATAATACTTGTGTGACTTCACATATCAACTTCCCTAAAACAGAACTGCATCGTTCAGGCTGGAAGGCGATGCTAATGGCACTAGTTCTCACAGTGTAGCATCTCCTTGTATTACATTTATAATCCATGATTATGCTTACTAATCATAGGACCTGTTGCTGCTTACTAGTTAGCCAGGAAGAAAACCTTTTCAAGAGAAATCCTCCAGACTCCAAAATGCTGTTTTTCTCTCTGCTATTCCCACTTACCCACATCTAGGGCACACAGTTTGTTTCATTTTCAAAGCAACTTAGAATCCTTGGCTCCCTGAATTTGGCCTAAGCAAAATTCTAAATATCAGTTCTAGACATTGAACAAATCATTTATTTATAAATGATCTTTTGAATCTTGGCTTTAGGCTGTACCCAAATATATATCAAGGGGAAAAGATCTGACTTTTAAAATTGTAAGATGCTGTTGTTAGCTGATTTTAAAAAATCTGAAGATTTTAATTTGTATTCTAGCACCTAGTGATATTAAATGACTAATTCAATGTTTAGCTGTTGACATATTTAACTTAAAAAATATTTGTATATAATTTTTTTCCAATTTTGTAAATTATCTCATTTGTATTATAGGTAGTTATTTATGAAAAGCCTTTTTTTGAAGGAAAAAGTATGGAACTAGAAACAGAAGTGTGTAGTTTTACGGAAGGAGATGAAACAGAAGAAACGACCAGAAGTGAACGTTTGCCATTTACGTCAGTAGGGTCTATGAAAGTCCTAAGAGGCCTGTAAGTAGATGGGGGAAACCTGGATTTTTTTTCCCTTTAATAAGTAAACATACCTCACCTCTCCTTCCCACCACCCACCCACCTGCCCGGCCCCCCCACCCCCGCCACCACCAAGACAACATTCTAGATTGTGTTCTAGTGAATTATAGTAGCTGTGCTCATGTTCTCCTCAGCCAACTGTAACCAGCAGTTTTAGGGTCTGGTTGGGCCAGTCATCTGAGCAAGGCTGATAAATATCTGATAAGTATCTAGATTGATGAAATCTAATTTTTTTTTGTTATTATGCTCTAAACACTGTTAGCTTACTTTCTGTTTTTTGTCTTTTGTATTTTATAGACCATGCACATTTCAAGTTTACACTGAAATGACCTTGTAAATAGCCCTAAATACATAATTTTAATTACTATTTGAAGATGATTTATCCAGTTTTATTTGCCAAAGTTCAATGAATCAATCTTATTAAGTGTGCATACACCACTCCCTCCCTCCATATACACTCCTTTCCAGAACACTCGTATATTTCTTAGGTTGCTTACATGGGGCTGTCCTGCTAGTCTCTTAAATTCTAGAGAATACCAGTAGTCATAACGCACGAGTCCATGTCTAGCTTTATAACTATCTGTAGTAGATAATGAAACAGATGTATACACTGGAAACAGTTTTAACCCCACTGAAAATTACTAATTCCTCATGTTCCTTCTGTTGCAGATGGGTTGCTTATGAGAAGCCTGGATTTATAGGTCATCAGTATTTGCTTGAAGAAGGAGAATACAAGGAATGGAAAGACTGGGGGGGTTACAATGGAGAACTTCAGTCTCTGAGACCTATATTAGGTGTAAGTTAAAGAAAAGCTAATAGCTAATACTTGGTCTTTCTGGTTAATAAATGACTAACACTTGACATTGATTTTTTTCTTCCCAATAGGACTTTTCAAATGCTCACATGATAATGTACAGTGAAAAAAACTTTGGCTCCAAAGGTTCCAGTATTGATGTATTAGGAATTGTTGCTAATTTAAAGGAGACAGGATATGGAGTAAAGACACAGTCTATCAATGTACTGAGTGGAGTGTAAGTAAAATAACCCAGTCAGATTTTAAACATGGCTTTCACCTTGGTTTGTGTTAAATAGATTCTCTGAGACAGAGTAGGCACTCAATGTATAAATGCCTTGGTAATTAAACATTAAATTAGTCATTTATTGCCTACTGCCACAATGTATCTTTTAGAAATTTCATTTATCTTTTTATCATATATAATGTAACATTGGAGTGGGCTTTTAGGTTTCATGGTAGAAATCTACAGATCCACTTCCTTTGTCATTCTGCATGGAAAGTTCTCATTAATTTCTCAGGTTGGGAATCAAATAATAGTGAACTAACATTGAAAACCTGAGGTTGGGACAAAGCCCCTATTAGATTTTCCTATGATCCTATACCTACTCCAACATCAATTTCTTTAATGTTATTTTGACTTAAGATAATCATTTCAGTGTACCCAGGGTTAGCAGTTGAATGCTTTGTTCATGTTAAAGTAACTTTTAATTGAGCAATGATCTGTCAAGACCATTTGAAATGTGGCAGTAAATCTACTTAAATCAGCATAAGTGATAAAAATCAAACTGATGACCTACATAGCGACTAAAAGTTTTGCAAATATTTTTGCTTCAGTCGTCGCTGGTCACAGGGGTGTTGGGGCATGGTAATCAGAACTTGGTGGGGGTAGGGGGGTCTCTCTTTCCCCCCCTGCACTCTTCTCTATGTTGGCTTCAGGTAAGGTGATTCTTTACATCTGGCGGCTTCTCGGAGCAGCATTTGCCTTTTGTTCCATGATCTCACTGTTCAGTGGAACGAGCTGCTTTTTTTCTATAGATGATCCAGGCTTGACTTTGAGTCTAGGGGTTGAGGTCACGTGCACATTGCCTCAACCAATCACTGTAGCCAAGGATATAGCTGTGCCTGGGTTACGTGCCCTGCCTGGAGCTGAGATGTAGGGTCAGTCCCGTGGACCCTACTTATTTTGATTGGGGTGGTTGGTTCCCCAGGAATATCAGAAATAGGGAAAGATACTAGCTGTACAAAAACAGATGTTATTTTTCTTCTTTATTCCTTTTTTCAATTATTCTTCTGATCTAGGCTGATGTCTGTTACAATTTGTTAGAAGTGAGAGTAATCTAACGTGGTTTTATGAAAATCATTTGTACTGTTGAAAATGTTTGATGCTAGATTTGTTGTGTTATGAGTAATAGGCTATTTGAATCCTTCTAACCTCAACTCTTGTAATCATGAGTCTTGCCTCGGTAGGTCTGGATATCTGATCTGTGTCTACAATGAAATATGCTTTTGCTATTAGTCACATTCAGTAAATTCTTGTGTAGATTGTTGCTTGTGGTGCCATCTTGGCAGAATGAAATCAGTGATTGCTGGGTCTTCCTTCTTAGCTGGTCCTGTTCTTAAGCTCTAACATTTTAGAAACCGCCTTACACAAAAGGTATACTATGGCAGAAGTCAAATGAAATGGCTGTAGCTCTGTAGTATTTGAGATTCCCTTAAAGCTAGTTACTTAAAAGAAACATACAGTGACCAACTCAACCTGGAGAAACAGCTGTATACATTTGAGACTCACCAGGTGTGTTGGCTCCATCAGAGCCCAGTCATGTGCCCTAGCAGAGGTAGTCAGAGGATGTGGGGTAGAATTCCCTTGAGACATTTGGGTAAATTATGTTGTTAATGTAGATAGAATTATTGTGCCCTAAGCCTATCTTTCCTTTTTACCTTGTTTTCCTGAAATCAGTTTCCTTAGAAAGTAGTGCTTTTAGGGCCTCCCCGGTGGCGCAGCGGTTGAGCGCTGGGTTGCGAAGCTGCCCGCAGCCTCTGAGGCGCCGGTTCAATCCCCGGCTGCTCCCCGGCCACCAGAGGAGGGTCCCACATGGCGCGCAGACCTCTCCTGCCGCCCGCTGCTCCCCTCAGCAGTGTACTTCGGTCCTTCTGCCTGCTCTGCTCCCCGCTCTGGCTCTGGTGAATTCTCTCACCCTCCCGCACTTCTGATTGTACCCAGTGCTTGTATAAGTAAATAAATAAATCTTTAAAAAAAAAAAAAAAAAAAAAAAAGAAAGTAGTGCTTTTATATGTTTTTATTTATAGTTGCATTTCTGATTGTAGCAGTTGAGTTTTGGTATTAAAAGGAAGTTGAGAGGAGGGCTTCTATAGTTACCAGCACCAGCTGCTTCCTCATATTTCATCCATTTAGTCATTTGACAAATATTTATTGAGGTCTGCTATTGTAAAGCATTATATTATATCCTCGGAGAAGTTATAGAACTTATATAAAGCAGAATTTATTGCCATAGAAGGGGTATAGATTAAGTGCTTTGGGAATCCACAGCAGAAAGAGATGAATTTTCAGGTTGCACATGAGACAAGAACTCTGGAGGAGGCAGCACTGGAACTAGCTCATTCGTTTTTAATAGTTCCAAAAAAAAACTAATGACGTTTTTCTTATTGGTAAATAAGCATTTTAGTTTGGTTTTTTATGCCATAGTATGGAACACAAAGCTCGGGGGGAAAAAAGACTGTTTTGATATTCCTGTTCTATAGGAGTGTCTCCAGGCAGCTGTTGTATGGATAATAAATTCCCTGTGTAGTAAACTCATTATTAGTTCTGGAATAGGGGCCATTCTTCAGAAAGGATGCTGTGAATCCAACAATTGAGATTTTAGAAACGGCATTCCATCTCTTGTGGAAATTCCTTCACACAGTCCTGCTAATAAGTTTCTAATTCTATGTTATGCTCTTACTTAAACTGTGGAATGAGTCATGATTTTTTAAACCTAAGAGCAAAATGAAATATTTCTATAGTCCAGAAAAAAATAAAAGTGCTCGTGTTTTCAATTCTTTTGTACTTTTCCCCTCCGCAGAAGGGTCAGTTTGCCCGGCTGCCCTTAAATTCTCAGAGCAGATTCCATCCAGCTGGGAACCTGCTAGTACTTGTTCTTGCCACCCCACCCCCCTCACCCCAATCCTATAAACACGAGTGTTGACTCATATGTACAGACTGTTTTAAAAAAAGACAATAAGGAACTTTCTTCTTCAGACTCTCAAACTTAAACTTTAAGTAGACTCTAGATGGCTGACATAACAGAAAATCTCAGATCAAAGTTTTGGGGATTTTTAGCCCTCATATTCATGGGTGAGTCATTTGGGGCTGCATGCTGGCAGGAAAACAACACTACTGTCAGTCCAAGAAGCAGCATCTGAATAGTAGTTTTCCTGTTCCAACTTTAGAGAATTAGATAGACTTATGTGGGTATTGAGTTTTTACTTGTAAGGAATTAATTTTCATTGTGTAGGGAAGTAAAGTCACAGTTGTTAACTTTTCTCCTATGTTCAGTCTCTCCCCTCTGCCCCCCGCCCCCGGCTTTTCCCCTCTGAACCCTAAAGTCAAAGAACAAAGCAACAAAGCACAGAACCCTCTTCTCTAACTTCTTACAGCCCCAGCGCCCTGCCAGGAATGCTTCTTTGTGATATGGCTTATCTTCTTTAATTTTCAGTTGTTTCTTGAGGTAGATTTTTCTTGCTGTGCAGATTTACCCCCCACACAATAGTGCTGCATTCTCCTGCTTTGCTGCCGCCCGGCTTCCTGATGTGTGAGCAACCTATGCCGTTTTCAGTGGCTGCACACACAGGAACTGGGGCGCAGTAGAGCCTCACGGGATTCAGCATTGGGATCCTCGCCAACCCCTTATTAAAAAATACAAACTTTCACACAGGCTAAGTGGGCTCTTCAGTTATCTGAAAGTTAATGTCACGCCCACAGCTCGAGCCAGATCTAATTCCTTTCCTTACAATGTTAAAGTATAGATTTTAAAAATTGTTAATGAGGTTCTGAAGGGGTGGAATAGTCTTTTTTGAAATAGACTATGATTGGCACCTAAAGCAGCTTTTCCATTCAGATGTTACCTGTCATGAGCTACATATCACCTGGGATTTTTTTTTTTTTAATGAAAGGGCTTGATTTAAATAAAGCTCGCTGAGCTTTTGTTTAAATCAAGCCCTTTCATTAAAAAAATTGTAAGCTGTTATTATGAAATGTGTAGACTATTTTACGTATGGTTTCATGGACTAGCAAATGGAAGGAAACTTTACCTGGCAAATGGCAGTTCTGGTCACTAAGTGATGAGAGCTCGAGTGAGCCTCGGGAGCCCGTCACAGGTTCAGTCATCCCTGACCACTGCCTGTGTCACCTTGGGCCTGTCACTTCCCATTCAGAGCGTACAGCAACAGGTATTTCCATGAGATGCTTCTTGCCCATCTGTGAACTTCTTGAGGGCAAGAATTTTGTTTTTCTTCTTTGCATTCCTAGTGCCACTCTAGTTCCTGCATGTGGCAAATGGCCAACAATGTTTACAAGTGAATATATGAATTAAATTTTCCTTGATTTTAGGTTTTCCCACCTTTAAAATGGGAAAACAAGCCCCTCCCCAGAAGGTTAAATGTGATAATTAAAATGAAAGCATTTTGAGAATAAGCGTACATACAGGTATCTAGGTATTAGTCCTTTAAACTGTGAGAAGGTCATTAGGCCAGTGAACTACCTGAGGAGGAGACACTGAGAAACTCTTGAATGTAATGGAATTGAAAAACTTTCTTCCCTTCAAAGACTATCTAAATCAATATATTGGTGGTGTTGATTTTCCTCTCTGAGTGTAGAGCACTTAAAATATAACAAATGAAAACATGACAAGAGAGATTCGGTTTTAGTATTTCTGAGAGTTGTTCAGTTTTGCTTGCGATGTAGTCCTATCATATTGGAAATCCTGTTAGAAACAAAATTTTAGTAACAGCTGTATTTTTTTCTTTTCCTCTGAACTTTTTTTCCCCAGTTTCGTTTGTTGTGTAACAGAGACATAGCTTTCCATCCTAGCTTTCTGTAAAAATATTTTAATGTTGATAAAAAAGAATTCTTATTTGCTTATAAAGAGAGCTCTTACAGGTACTTCTTCGAACTCCAAATTATTTCCTTAGGAAAGAATAAGGAAGAAATAGACTAATATCCCCACTGCAGCTATATGAGGGATAGAATCTGATAAATGATAACATCAGAAGAATCAAGTAAAAATACCCTTTCGCTTGCCACTCTGTCTCAGACAAATCTGTCTGCTCCTAAAAGGTTAATGGAGAACCAGAAAAATTAAGATTACTGATTAATAAAACAAATGAAAGTTTATGTGGGATATATATTTATCCAAATGTGTGTGAGTTTTATTGTCTATGTAAATTACAAACTCTAACAAGTCAGTGTTTTTGTCTCTCTAGATGGGTAGCCTATGAAAACCCAGACTTCACCGGAGAACAGTATGTATTGGATAAAGGCTTTTATACCAGTTTTGAGGACTGGGGAGGCAAAAATTGTAAAATCTCTTCTGTTCAACCCATTTGTTTGGTAAGGAATTAAAATTTTATTGAGAATATTTGAATTCTGTTTATTTAATAAATACTTTTGATCCATGTATTATTGAATGCTATAGAAACTATTCTGAATTATGTTTAATATTAATTGCTAGTGGGCTGGAAGAAAAAATATTTTCAAGATGGCTGCTGTATTCATTTTTTTCTCTTTTCCCTTTAAAAACTTAGGATTCTTTCTCTGGCCCGAGGAGACAAAATCAGGTAACTTAAAAAATACTGTATTTTTCATAACAAGGGGCCTCCCATTGAAAAGCTGAACTTGTGTGTAAAATGTCAGGCATTTGGCACATTTTCTTTTACCCATTTCTATGCCTGAAAACATAACTGTATTTTAAAGTTAGTTTTAAGCTTACTACTTAATTGATAGCATAGATCCATATCTAAATATCTATTTATTATGTAAAGCTGAATTTTAGTTACATTACACTGAGACTAATATTTCAAACAATAGCATATACTTTATTGTGATAAAAAGTAAAATGAATTTTCATATTTGCTGTATCTGCATTAGACAAACATTTTATGTGTTCTCTCATATGGGCTCTCCCCCAACCTTTTGAATGCTGACTGTCTACATTAAATGAAGAGTAACATTCATTATTTAGCCTTTTTAATGGCATCAGACAGCTGTAATTACAGAGTCACAAACACTGCTATAGCCTTCTTTACTAGCATACACAAGATTCTAAAAAGTCAGCAAGTATCTTCCATTGAGAGGGAGGGAAACCATACTATATGTTTCCAAAATACAGTTTCTTGTAAATGGTAGAACTGATGAACAATTACTTTTGGCCACAATAAAGCTTTAAAATGCTGCACAACATGTTCGGACAGGGTGTTCTACAGAAACTGCCTTATTGTTGGATTGTCCTTTGATGACTGTCTCTGAATTATAATAAATCATGAATTGGTGTCGCCGAAGTATTTCTAATTGATCATTAATGTAGACGTAGCAAATTAAAGGATTTGTAAAATTCATACCATTTTTACTATAACAAGAATTAACAGATCATGTTTGGGTCATCATTACAAAGGCTGAAGGAGTTAATGTATTCAGGAAAATAATTTTAGCTATTTCCGTTTACTTTTTCAAAGATTCACTTGTTTTCGGAACCACAGTTTCAAGGCAGCAGTCAAAGTTTTGGAGAAACAACAAATCAAATTGATGACTCATTTTCTGCCAAGTCTTGCAGAGTTTTAGGAGGCAGGTAAGCAAAATCGTGGATGAGCAGCGCCTAACCACTGCGGGGAAAATAGAAGTCACATGGGCCAATATTTAGTAACTTCTGTTAGGTGTCGGTCTCTATATGAAAGCGCCAAATACTACAAAACCATCTTAATACTAAAGTATGCTTTGCAGCATCTAAGTGCTGGACATGTCAGAGGATGTGCCTATCAGTTTGGGTCGGAAAAGTTGAAGAGCACCACTTTGGTGTGCCACAGGACTCACACCAGCTTCTGTCCTCTCTAGGCCTGTCCCATCATCGGTCAGACACACTAGCTAATCCCTAGGTGTCTCCCTGCAGACACTTTTTCACAGGCAGGCATGGGATAAGCGTTCTGCACATGGCAGGCAAGTGCATGGCTGGAGGGGATTCAATGTGTGTGCTAATCAGGGAGTGCATCACCTTTGCTGACTGGGAGGAGTTTGTAGTGGGGACAGGGGGAGCAAGTCTGAATAGGGAGGCTGGGATCAGGTTGTAGAAGTTTCCTCTGAGCATATGAATTTAGATGGATGCCACAGGAAACACAAGACAGGAAAGGCGTAGCCACAACATTTAGCACTGCAAAGGGGCAGTGCCATCCTCACAATGGTTTACTCAACATGCCATGCTCACAATGGTTTACTACTTACTACTTGATCAAGAACTTCCAGAGCGGCCTATGCAAGAAGGGATGAGGAATTATGTCTAATTAATAATAATGGCCTTTAATCATAAAATTCTTATGGTCCAGGCAGTGCCATCATGCCATTCAACACTGCAGGGAGGAAAAGAGCACTGGATTTGCACTCAAATGTGCAGGTTTACAGTACCATGGCACAACTTATTAGGACATACCTCCACCCCTATTCTAGTTCCTTTATCTCCTACTCCGCTTCATTTATTACAACCTGACGTGTACACTTCTTTTGTTCACTACTCACTAGGTTGTAAATTTCAAGGAGGCAGGAACTTTTTTGGCCATTCTCTCCCCAGCAATGGCAAAATGGAAAAGTGCCTGTCACACAATTAGTCTTCAATAAGCATTTATTTGGATTAAAAAAAAAAACAAAAAACTTTCCTAGGGAAGCATGGAAAATTTCCATTTTATCATAAATGCTAACTAAGGCTTAGAGAGGCTAAAAACCACTTGTCTAAAAATCAGTCTGGTATTTTGGGACCTAGCCTACCCTATGCAGAGGTATTAGAATGGAGGATAAAGGGATGTGAAGAAAAAATCTGGGAAGTTATCAGTAAACCCCAGTGACGGACTAGCTGTGAAGGTTGAGGATTATTCAGAAAGGACTCAGACTTGACAAAACCACAGCATCTGGGAGAAGGGTGGTTGGCACTCCTGAGAGGAGCAGGGGGTCTGGGAAAGTGGAGAAGTAAAAGCAGAAACAATTTAATGGAAAGAGAAGTTTTATTTGCAAACTGAATAAATTTCTTGCCACAGGATGAATGAGTAAATATGTCCAGATATTTTGGAAGAAAACATTGTCAGCCACAAGTATTGTGTTTATTTTGTAGCAGGCTACTCTTAAAAAAAAATTAAACTTCTTGAACAGGAATGCCAAATTACATATTGTATGTGTGTATGGTTTTTTCTTTTTGTAGCTGGGTTGCATATGATGGAGAGAATTTCTCGGGTAATCAGTATGTCCTGGAAGAAGGCCACTATCCTTGTCTCTCTGCAATGGGATGCCTGCCTGGAGCCACTTTCAAGTCTCTTCGTTTCATAGATGCTGTGAGTATGTCAGTGGGGAGAGAGCTTTACAGAGATGTGCGGTCACAAAGCTGATATGAGCAAGGAAACCAACAGGCAGAGCTTACTCAGGGTGAAAGAGGCAGAAAAACAGCTGCAAACTTTCCCTCCTGAACATTTTGGCCTTTTGGGATCTTTAACATACAAGTTGCTTTTGTTTGCCATTTTCCCAGATGAAATGCACCGAGTTAGTTGTGGTGCACAGTCATCAGGGGCAGGTCAAGATCCCTCTCCTGTCTTGCTTTTTTCCACTTCATTCCTGATTCCTATTTCGGTTCCTCTCCTCTTCACAGGTACAAAGTGTTTGGAGACAGCTTGCATATTCTTACAAAGTCCATGCTTTTAAAAAATCTGTATAAAGGCTTTATATAAACAAATTATGCTATAATTCTCATTGTCAGTATTTAACATAAAAGTTTCTTGAAGAGCTTTCCATCCTGCAGTATGTACATGTATGTACATGTAGTTATGGATTCTAACTGGTACAAGTTCCCCATCACCTTATTTTACTTTTTATTTATTCCTTACTTTTTATTTTACTTTTTAATTTATTCCTTATATATGTATCACTATGCCCTCATCTGGGAGTCTCTTGGGGACAGATATTGCTGGACGGATGTACACGAATATACAGTTTGACTGAGTCTTGCCACATTCCATCATTTTAGACTCCTCCTGGCAGCGCATGTAGGCTCCCATTCCCACATCATTGCCATTACTTAGTATTCTCTGCCTTCTAACTTTTGTCACTTTGGAGGAATGGATAGAAAGTATTATCTCATTGTGTTCACATGTTTCACGATTACTGAAGTTAGTATCTCATTTCTTAAGTCATTTTGGTTTTCTATTCAGTGAACTGCCTGTTGTCTTTTGCTCAACTCTTAAATTTTCTGTGTTTTTTTGGTTACTGATTGCAGAAATTCTTTCTAGTTTTTAGTCTATTACTCTGTTTTAAAGATTTGCAATTAGTGGTATCTCCCAGTTTTATACAGTATGTGCTAATCCAGATTTAATGCCCCTTTTTGAATAGAAATCTTTCATTTTGATGTAATCAAAGCAATGTTTCTTAGACAAAAACTGCAAGAATGTTCGGATGTTAAAGTCTGGATGTGGCTGTAGTTAGGGGAATCTTTATTAGTTTTTGGTATCTGTTATCTCATTAAAAGCTTTAAACATATATAGTTGGTGACTCTGGTTTTAAAGGTAAGAACACTTGTGAGTTAGCTTTCTCTCATCTCTGCCTGCTCAAATAATTAAAATTTTAACCTTTCTTGAATGTAAAGATAACAGTAGGAAAATATAGAAGGATGTGTTAAGATTGATTAGCTTACAAGTAAGGAAATATGTAAGAATTTAATGTTTAACCTGTCTAGAATTCTAGACGCTACCTATAGTATCTTTTTGGAAAACAAAACCCAAAACACTTCAGATACAGTTTTCAAATGCTTTCCATCAACTAGAACTTGGCATATATGCTCATATCACTTTTTAAAAATTTATTTATTTATTTATACAAGCACTGGGTACAATCAGAAGCGCGGGAGGGTGAGAGAATTCACCAGAGCCAGAGCGGGGAGCAGAGCAGGCAGAAGGACCGAAGTACACTGCTGAGGGGAGCAGCGGGCGGCAGGAGAGGTCTGCGCGCCATGTGGGACTCTCCTCCGGTAGCCGGGGAGCAGCCGGGGATCAAACTGGTGCTGCAGAGGCTGTGGGCAGCTTCGCAACCCAGCGCTCAACCGCTGCGCCCCCCACCGGGGAGGCCCATCATATCACTTCTGACACTTACAGATGATGTCCTGTTAAATTTTGACCGTGATAAAGACTTTGCCCATTATATAAACATGCATCTTAACCATGACTTAATACTTCAAATGTGTTTGTTGACTCTGAGTTTTTAGATGATTTTTGGTATGTCATGTCAGAGAAAAGTGCAATGTAACACTACTTCAATTCTTGTATGTTTTATATAACCTGATTCCTAGACCATACAAACCATCTCTGCACACTCATCTGCTCCTGGTCAACAAAATCTTTCTACATGTCAGGGCACATCCACATAAATGAAGCAGTCAGGTGCCATGCCCTTACCACAAAACTTTAAGCAGGTAGGGAATATTTGATGTATCATTTATGACCTTAGGAGTAGTATTAGAGCTTAGTCTAGGGTTATAAGGGTAATTGGAAAAACAAGTATAAGCTGCCAATTTGTCATTTTTCTGAAAGCCAGTGGGCTGCTGTGCTGTGGTCCTCTTCAAAATGAATGACAGCTTGAGGATGGGGCTCCCATCCAATTTTTTTCTCAGCAATACTTTCAACAGGAAAGTTTGAGAACATGGGTACACAGAATCTAGTCTTTCTGACAAAACAATAACAAGCTATTTGACAGGACATATAAGGGAAGGTTCACCAAATAGGCACTTATTACCCACCACTAGACACCAAAGACTGTCACAAAGACTGCCCTCTGACCTTTGTCAATTGTGTCCATGGCGTTGGTCTTTCCTTACCCAACAGACAAAAGTTGAAAATACCATTAGAAATGCTGATATTGGCATATATTCCTTTGTGCCTGGAATAATTTTCCCCTTGCTTTCTAACTATTTACACATACCTACCTTTTCCTGCAGTGGAAAACTTCCTGCCCCATCATGCTGCTTCTCTCCCTTTAGCCTTGGAGTGTCTAAACACCCAGACCTCCTGGGAAAAGGAGTTTGACAGGTCAAGGCTGGCCGGATCATGTACTTTATCCTTATAAGGAGATGATTTAACATAAATTTGAATTATTATCAAAGATGAATAACAGAATGTTGTTTTTGTTCCTAAACAGGAATTTTCTGAACCAACAATTATTCTTTTTGAAAGAGAAGACTTCAAAGGAAAAAAGATAGAACTCAATGCAGAAACAGTTAATCTCAGATCCCTAGGATTCAACACGCAGATACGCTCTGTTCAGGTGATTGGTGGCATGTAAGTGAATTATCTACTTGTTTATTCAATATTAAAAGTGATATTTCCTTCCCTCTTAAATTGCCTTAACAAATTGACATAGAAACCTTTTTTTCCTGTGTTAATAATTATGCACTTTCAGAGTATACTTTTCCATTGGAAAAAGCTATGTGTGAGGTATCTTTCATCTCTTCATCAGATTTTTATCCTAGTTAAGGTAAGGCCTTTGTTTTTAACAAAGGGGCATGCTTTGCACACCAATGCTTAGTGCATTTACTGAGAAGAGTGCTCTTTCTTTAGCAAGTAAGAAGGAGCTAATTTTTCTTATCCCTTTGAAAGACCCATGATTTTGAAGGGTTGGGATTTTTCCTTTAGCTAGGAGTGACACCAGATGCTATGTAAAACAATTAAAGGTCAACAAGGGAAGATGTTTCTCAACTTTGAATAATTTTGAAATGAAGATGGAAAAATGAATAAGGACTATCACTGTAATAAATATTTTTAAGAAAGTTTTTATTTTACCTGCAGAAAAAATAGGTATGTTCTGTATGCCTCAAATGTTAAAGCAACTATAGCTATTTAAAAAAATGATTATGGGATATTGGAGAGTAGAATTACTGGTTATTTTCTTAAGAGGTTTTATTTATTTTGTTTTTCTGATAAAATGGCTAAAGCGATAACATTTTAGAGTTCCAGGATGATAGGTGAAGAACATTATTCTTCCTTGCTATAATATGTCTGCTGGAGAGGAAGGTTGTTGGGTTGCTTGCATACCAGTCTGTGGGTACCAACATCTCTGAGTAGAAGAGACCGGAGTATCTTTAGCAGTTTTCTGGACTGAGGATGATTAGTCTTATTTTAAATATACATTACTTTTATTTAACCCTCACATAGCACTTGCCATGTGCTATACACTAAGAACTTTACAAATACTATTTAAGTAAAAGACCCATTATTACTACTGAAAATGTTATGAAAAGCTCAGAGGAAATAGCAGGCTGTGAAAGATTCTCCAGTTCAGGGCCTAATTGGAGGAAAAAACCTATTTCTCTTCAAGAATGGATCTTTTTTTTGGCATAAATGCTCATGTATCAAGAACTTTCTGACAGCTTTGTTTTAGAAAATGAGGTAGTTACCTTTTCTTCCCCAGTGTATATTTAAAGTATAAAGATCAACCTAAAAGTTGGAAGCATTATAAAAATAAATGTAATAGGGTTCTTTGTCAAATGGAAATTGCCACTTACTGTGATCATCTGATTTTTTTCCAGATGGGTTACTTATGAATATGGCAATTACAGGGGTCGACAGTTCCTACTGTCACCAGCAGAAGTGCCGAATTGGTATGAATTCAGTGGCTGTCGCCAAATAGGTTCTCTACGGCCATTTGTACAGGTATTTTTTCTTCATGCTCTTTGAATAGACTCTGATGTTTGTTCTTTTTGTAAAGGTAGTTCAACTTTTTAGTTACAATTTTAAGTTGGAAACTGGCCTCTCCTCCCCGTTCCCTCCTGAATTTGGGTTCCTGATGCTAGCAGGTCATGACTACTCTCAAAAATGCTGTCATGCCAGCATCAAACCCTGGTGTGTCCCAAGCCCTGGACTGTTCACAGGCAGGTGCTCTGCCCCAGGCACTTCTTTGGATTTTTGCCAAATTCTTCTCATTGAGAAAAACCTCTGAGACTCTTGGGTATAGTAATTATCCCTAATCCAACTTCAGCTGATATTTCTGCCCCTGATATTAATGCTTGTTCAGTGTTTCTAACAGCACAACTGGGCTTTTTATCTTTTAGAAACGAATTTATTTCAGACTTCGAAACAAAGCAACAGGGTTATTTATGTCAACCAATGGAAACTTAGAGGATCTGAAACTACTTAGAATACAGGTCATGGAGGATGTCGGTGCCGATGATCAGATCTGGATTTATCAAGAAGGATGCATCAAATGCAGGGTGAGTCTTTAGGGATAGACACGGGTCTTCAGCAGCATCTTACTCAAGTAGATGCTACTTTACAATGCAAGGAGTACTTTTAGAAATAACAGATTGTTTTTCATGAAAAAAATTCTTAGCAGTTTAGGAACTTAATATGGAAGGTAAACTCAGTGCTAATCCATGACATTAATTAGAAGTGTTTGTGTTACTCTTTTTCCCTAATCTACTTGTTCTAGAAATAAACCATAAGCCCTAGCACTATCAACACAAATCTATAGGTTCTTATTTTGGAGAACCCTCACACTAGGATGAAGTCCCACCCTGGGTACAAGAGTCCATTCATTTCCTAATTGCCATACCTTATAAAATGGCCCATCTCCCCCTCACGTTACTCCTGCCATAAAAGACACTGAAAAGCTGAATGTAGTAAGATTTTATGAGAGAAGTTCACGCTTCTATTGTAGTTACTCTTTTAAACTCCTTGATTTTATGGGCTTGACTGTTAGCTCGTTTTGTGTTGTTTTTTTTTTAAACTTGGTGCCCCATGAGTCAGCAGAAGGCCTTGTGAAAGGGAACACAACTTATTAATTGGGCCTAATGTGCCTGAGGGAGAACCATCCCTTCAGTAAATGAAGTGCTGTTTAGACATGCATAGAAGAAACCCAAGACACCAAAGTGGCAATATCATGGAGAACAGGAAAAGCCAACTGTTGCCTTTGAATTCTCAAACAATTCAAGAAAATGGTGCCTTGCAGCAGTTATTTCTAACATTTCACTTATGTTATTTAACAACTTTGAACAGGTCAGTGAGAAAAGGTGTCCTAGTTTTTGCAATCCTTTCATCTCAATACTGAATGTATGTTTTTCATTAGCATATTCTTTAGCAATATGTGCTAATGTTACATGAACATAGGCCCACCATACATTGTTCATGTAGTAAGGTTAGATTCACTTCAGACAAGGGCCCACAAATTTCTGCATTAAAACACTAAAGTACATGTCTCTTTTCTTCTTTCTCCTTTTGTAGTTGGACAGCATGCCTTTTTAGCAAATTTTAGACATTTCTCATGAAAGAAGGGAAATGGAATTTCAAAGTTTTAAGTGATAAAATGACCTTTTAGCCACCTTAGAGCAATAGTTTTAAAAATTAGAAAAAAAACTAATATTCCAGATATATTTGGAGGGTTGGGCTGAGCAGAGGCAGATATGTCTGTGGGAGCTTTAACTACAGATCTAGCCTCAGAGCACAGTCATTTCTGAGAAGGGAAAATATCATATGGGATGGACAAAAACTGAGAATTTTCCATCATCTGGACTAAGAAGTAATTTGTTTTTCAATCCCATTTACTCTGGCTCACAGCTAAAATGCCTCATGTGAGGGTAAATGGATCTAGTACAAAGATAACTTAAAAACCTATTTAAAGAAGGAACTGATTACGATGGTTGATTGCATATCCAGTTCTAAGATATTTTATCTTTCCCGCTGAGCAGATAGCAGAAGACTGCTGCCTGACTATTGTGGGGAGCCTGGTCACCTCGGGCTCAAAGCTGGGGCTGGCCCTGGACCAGAATGTTGACAGTCAGTTTTGGAGCATGAAGTCGGATGGCAGGATCTACAGCAAGTTGAAGCCCAACTTAGTTTTAGATATTAAAGGTAAGGATCATTTCCTTAATTTTTTAATCTATCTTTAAGATTGTTAACTAAAAACCAATTCTTCTGAACATGATGAATGTAGTAGTACCAATAGTAAGAGATTCCTTCCTACATGCCAGCCACTGAGCTCAGCACTTTACCTACATTATCTTGTGATCCTCACAGCAGCCCTAACAGGCTTATGTTCTCCATCCTTCCTCAGTCCCATTTTACAGTCTCTCCAAAAACTGAGGCTCAGAGGGATTAATTAGTTTGGCTACCATCTCACACCCATAAATGCTGAGATGGAATTTGGACACGAATTGACTTTACACCCTTTGTTTTATTATGTATGTAGACAGTGTTAGATTAATCACAAGTTAAAAGGCTATGCTTTCAGTACAGTCAATGATTTTCATGTGTAAGCATTTAACCTTTCATTGAAAAGATCTAAAAGGAATTAAAACAACACAGCCAAGAGGTTTCAACTGAACACTTGTTCAGTGATGTTAGTCCAGCATGAACTGGGCCCCCAGAGTTTGGGAATCACTATCTTAAACTTATCTGCATCAGAACCACCTGAAGGTCTTATTAAAACACAGATTGCTGGACGCCAACCTCAGAGTTTCTGATTTAGAAGGTCTGAGGTGAAGCCCAAGAATCTTCATTTCTATCAAGTTCCCAGGTGTTGCCCATGCTGCGTGAAGCCCAAGAATCTTCATTTCTATCAAGTTCCCAGGTGTTGCCCATGCTGCTGGTCGGAGAACACTACTAGGAGAAAGAATCATTTACGGCTGGGCCTCCCCGGTGGCGCAGCGGTTGCGCGCTGGGTTGCGAAGCTGCCCGTGGCCTCTGTCAGCGCCGGTTCGATCCCCGGCTGCTTGAGCGCTGGGTTGCGAAGCTGCCCATGGCCTCTGTCAGGAGCGGGTTCCACCCCCGGCTGCCGGGTTCCACCCCCGGCTGCCGGGTTCCACCCCCGGCTGCCGGGTTCCACCCCCGGCTGCCGGGTTCCACCCCCGGCTGCCGGGTTCCACCCCCGGCTGCCGGGTTCCACCCCCGGCTGCTTGAGCGCTGGGTTGCGAAGCTGCCCGCGGCCTCTGCAGCGCTCCCCGGCTGCTCCCCGGCCACCGGAGGGTCCCACATGGACGCGCAGGCCTCTCCTGCCGCCCGCTGCTCCCCTCAGCAGTGTACTTCGGTCCTTCATGCCTGCTCTGCTCCCCGCTCTGGCGAATTCTCTCACCCTCCCATGCTTCTGACTGTACCCAGTGCTTGTATGTACAAACAAATCAATCTTAAAAAAAAAAAAAAATCATTATGGCAATTTAAGAACACTATAAAACAAAAAAATTTACTTAGACATAGGAATTTAGTAAATTGTTACTATTGATAGGAAGATGTTTTATTTAAATCACAGGGATAATTCTGCTTTGAATTATTAATTTTGAATTTCCTATCAGAAAAGTCCACATAATTGTTTGTAAGTATACTTGTAAGTATACTATGAAGTCCATTTTAAATCATTGCTGAAAGTTCGCTCAATATTACTTTAATCAGAGCTCCAGGCCTGATTAGCAAATGGGGGTAAAGTGTTCTGTGGATAATGGAGAAAAAGCATGAAGTTTTCATCGGGGGCTTTGGTGACTTCATAGAGACAAGTGGCTGGTCTCTGAGTGGCTAACCCAGTTAACAGTGGGATTGGAATTCACAGATGACCTGAGAAGTTGGAACACAGCTAACCAATATGTAACTGCAGGCTGGGTGGGAACCAAAAATCACAGTCTATGATATGCAAGCAGGTTCCTTGAGTGTAAGAAAACAAGCACAACATTCGGAAAATGAGTAATAATGTAACTCCTTCACATATTTGGTGCATTTGTCAGAATATGGACAGGTTAAAACACCCTTTTTACAGAAGATCAACCTGAGGGTCAAACTGATGAAATACTGACCCCAAGAGCTTGCTTTATCCTTATTTTGATCAACTGGTTAAATTGGAGTTCTGCTCTACAGGCTGAGTACTCACTGTTGGACAGGCTCTGTGCTAGACATTGAGGTTACCAAAGTAGAAGAAAAAAGGCTACCCTCATGGCTTTAGCGAACTGACAGGCATAAAGGAGCTTTTCCCAACCGCTACAACTAGGAGTTGGCCAGGAGGAAGGGCAACTGGTTTCTAGTTTTGACTATGACTACAACAGTAGGACTTTAAAGTGTGACCCTAAGGAAAAACCTACTAAACCAAGGTCCTTTTCTTAAAATGTGTTATAAGTTGGCCATATTCTTCTTGAATAAGAGCACTCTGTGTGTGTGTATGTGTGAACACCCAGTATACCTAGTATGGTGGTGGCAACAGTCATTTAATGTCTTAAACTGAATTTAAATTCCTGTAATGTGGGAGAATGCCACCACCTGGTGGTCATGAGTCCATCTCTCTGGTGCACTTAATAGGAGGCTATGATTTTCATTAGCTGCAACCAATGAACCATTTGTTACCTACTAATATTGTCATAAGATTTATTAGACCCAGTGTCTTTCTTCTAACCCACCTTTCGGTGTTTGGGAAGTGAGTTGTTTTGGCAGACATTCACACATTCCAGACCACATACCTTATGCCAACAGTGGAAGCTGATTCATGCTTACTTTTAAAAACATCAGAAGTCTGGGATGATTTTAATGCTTCCAAAGGCAGAAGAATGAAGCAGATTATTTCTCAATCTTCATGATTCTAATTAGAATTATACACAAAAGGTATACCAAATTACTATCATCTTGGAGAATGAAAAAAAATATTGCAACCTTAAGATAATACTTCCTGACATCCCCGATGGAGGGGTTTGCTGGGGGTGTTAATTTTTTTCTCACAGTAAGCTCACCTATAACAGGCCTTCTTTCAAGAAGGGAACATGAGGCTGTTTTTAACACTAAAGTATCTGATATCTAGTAGGTACCCTTGGAAAATATTCTTACAAACATTCTGGTGAACGAGAGTTATGGAAATATACTAGTTTCACAATACAATGGAAATCATCATCTTAAATGCTATGAGTTTTAATCACCAAAGCCTGAGTAGTGAGTGCTGCCTTGTCTGTACTTCTAGGTGTCAATTCAGACCTCTTTGGCATAATATAGCATCATGCAAAACCCGTTCCTTCTGACAACCATTTCACGCTTCAGGTGTGCCTGCTTTTCCTTGCTGGGTCCCAAATCCCACCACTGAATGTATTTCACAATCTCTCCCTTTCCCTTCTCTACATTTTTCCCTATTCCTCAGATGTTGCAGAATCTGAGGCATGAATGGGCTTTTTTTTTTTTTTTAAGACTTGGGCAGACAGGTCGAGGTAGCACATCCTGCGTAGAGCTGCAGATGCCTATGCAATTTAACATATAACCTACAGCAGATTAACCTTCTCACCCACAGGTGATCTTAGGAGCTCTTCTCCCTGCTCTGTTTTTCTCGAGGCACAGTCTTACACCTTGCTGACTTTTGTTACACTGGTGTGATAAACTATGTCCTTTTTTTTCAGGGGGTGCACAGTATGATCAAAATCACATAATCCTCAACACTGTCAGCAAAGAGAAGTTAACACAAGTGTGGGAAGCAATGGTCCTTTAAACCTGAAGAATACCAGAGCAATATTTTGGAGGTCCTTTCAGCTACCTTATTTAAGAAAAAACAAGAACTGACAAAAGCAGCAAGGCAAAAGCAGGACTGACTTCTTCACTCTTGAATCACCCTGCCATGACTGGAACAACTGTTGAACCTTTTCAAAAGATAATTGTTTTTAAGCAATAATTTGTCCTTCTTTCATTTCTTGCCTTTCATTTCCTTAAACAGGCTGCTTCATTAGCAGCTTTTGGGTATTTAAAAGAATATTTTATCAAAACTAAAACTGTTTAAATTATTTCTCAAGACAACGTATAGGAACAAATTTACTTGACTTTGTAGACCTATGGATTCTCGACACTTTTAAGAAAAGCATAAGAGCTTGAGTTGTAAACTGTTCAGCATCTGAGAAGAAAGAATTCATTAGGTCTGTCATTTTGGACCATATGATTCTGGAATCATTCATTATTTTGTATAACAAAGTGGGAAAAGCATTATATGTTGGGACTTTTTTTTGTTGTTATAAATTAGTAAGTTACAAGATTTCATGACCATGTCTGCTAACATTTATTAGCAGGATTTGGTTATTTTAACACCCCTGGGCTGCCCAAGAATGTCACAAATACTGTTTAATGCTTTTCTTACAGATGCCATGGAACAGTATTACCTTAACCTAACTTATTAGCTATTTTCATCTGTAGTTAGCTCTGAAGCAGTGTTAAATTGCTAAGCTCAGGTCCCTTATCCAGCCCCAATGACATGAGGCCTATGGGGTCACCTTACCTGAGTATTGCAGCCCTTGTGGTCACTTAATTCTGGTAGCAGAAATGAGATGTGGAAAGCGCAGAAGGATGACCAGCAGTTATCTCCAGAAAGAGAAGGGAAGGAGGCCTTAAGGGATCTTTGCTGAACTTTGAAAACCCTAAAATGCAGCAAGCATCTCAATGAAGATTATGTTTAACTGACGACAATTTGCTGGCCCACATGGTGCTGTTCAAATAATGCATCCAGTTTTGAACAAAACCTCTGAACATTCCTTGACTATACTCCTCTTTTTGTCCTCATTTCACCTGTCCTTGTCACTAAATACTGGTGCTCTAGTCACAGGAAGAACAAATCTTGTTTTCCCTTTCATCTGTCCTGGTGTGTTTCTACTTCTAAAATGTTGATCTTCTAGGGAGTCTCTGGTAGGCAATTCTGATCATCAGAGTAGTTTTATATCTCATTTTAAAATAACATTTGCACATGTAAAACAGTCAACATGTCTGTCTTGTTCTTAGATGTATAGCTTTGACTTTAGGCCTTTTGTGCATATCATTACAGTATGGTGGGTAAAATATTCTACAATAGCCTGTATAGTTATCTCCTGAATAAACTTGTTTCTGATTAACTATATTGATGAAATTTGATAGAATCCATTCGGTGCTCTCATAACATTTCAGAGACTCAGCTACAGATTAGAAACACATGTCTGACTGAGTAGATGGCGGCAGGTCTGGTAGGAGGCTACCAACTTTCCTCTTTGCAGACTCAGTAAGTGGTAAGGGATAGGGGATAGGTGCCGCTTTTCTGAGAGTGGGCCCTGAGGGTGAGTGAGATCCTGCCTAGTTTTCCCCCTAACCACCACCTGGGAGACCTCAAGAAATTTGTGCCTCTGGGAGACCTCAAGAGAAATGGGGTGAGCTCATTCAGGTGGACGTCTAAAGTGGCTCTATTTACAAATGGAAAAGCACTCTCTAGAGAAAAGCTCTCACCCAGCACACTAACCAAACAAATGTCTAACAGGAATAAACCAAGTAGAAAGTTACTCAAAACAGGTGTACATCAAAAGTTAGAGGCTAGTTTCTAAGGAACAATAGCAAGGATGAGCACAACAGGAAATGAACACCTTAAACAAATGGACACACACTACAGATTCAGAAGCTACAATGGGCTTAAGAGCCATACCTAAACACAGGCGTTTAATGTCAACTGGAGAACTTTGGGTCCCCTGGGAATGGCAACACTTTCCATGGAAATGTCCTCAGAAAAACATGTTTCAATTATTGAAAGAGGCCCAGTCCTTATGTAAAATGTAAGGATGTAAAAAAATTAGAAACTTTAGCATCACCTTTCATTACTAAGAAAGGAAACAACTAAATAGGTCACTGATCAGATTTTTATATATGACCGAGAGAGAGTCAAGACTTGAGAGCCATTATTTCAGAGGAATAAAAATAAACCTTGGTCAGTGAAAAAGTGTTTATGATGAATCCTAGAAGGAACTAGTTTTAAGTAAACTCTGTTGCTATCTATCCATTTGTCAAAAGTTCTAGTATCTCACAGATGTTAAAGTAATAAAACAATTTGAGCTACTAGGAGAGAAGGCATCACAGTAATTTGCACATTTGGTGAGAAAGAACAGCTTGAAAAAAATACACAATTCTCACTGACTATAAACAAGCCCAAGGATACATAGTTTTCGATCACGTCTCATTTATGTATTCTGTGCCTCACAGCAAATAGCAGTGCGTTAGGGGCCAGTTTTACTAGAAAGCATGCTGGGCCAGGCTGGGCCAGGCAGTGCGATGTGCAGAGGGTGACTATAAAATCAATCTGTGTGCAGTTTAGGAGAGAGATATCTGGCAAAAAAGGTGTTTGCTTAAACTCAGGGTCTAATCTGGAAAAGGGTGGTGAGACAGAAGTTTGGGCCCAAAGGTACTCACCAAATAAGAGCCAACAATCACCGAACTGATTATTTATTTAAATGACATTAATAACGGTCTTTCCTCGTGCATGTCCTCTTTCTACCTTCAGGAAGGCTTCTGGAACTTCAGAAAATGGAAACGTTTTTTCAATAACCGGTTGAATCTATGAAACACAAGAAGAGGGGGACTGGTAGATAGGAAAATGGCCAGGGCGGACGGTGTCAGTATTTAATTTCTTAGTGCCAAGGTCCCTCAAGACCCATCTCTGTTGGGTCCAGGAGCTCACATGGTGGCTGCACCCTCTCCTGTCTGCTGCTTCTCTGTCAAGCAGCCCAACTTGACCAGTGCTCAATCTGCTCTATGTTGGTCAAGTCCCTGTCCTACTCTTCAACAGCTGCCAAGTCTCCGACATTCAAAAGCTCACCACCCCAAGCTCAGCCTCTCTTGAACTCTACATTTCACCAAAATGGTCTACCTGTCACTGTCAGAGCAGGGTACATTTGTGCCTCTATAGAATTCTACCACCCTTCCAGATCCCCCAGCATGCAGTGTGTCTTTATCTTGTGATGGGCTGCGTGACCCTCTTCATAGACTGTTTGTCCCAGCTGGGTACAAGTCTCAGCCTGCTGTGTATGTAAACACCAAAGGGCCACACCAACGTTCTTGCTATGTGCCCCGTGGGCCTTCACAGGCCATGACAGTGCACAGACTGACTTCTTCTTAATCTGTTTAAACTCTGGCACATCTACTCAACCAGAACTGAATACCTATGGTAGTCACCTCTTTTAAATCCCCCAGAACACCCAGCAAATGCTAGGCACATAGCAGGAGCTCAATAAAAGTCAATTAGGTGAAAACCAATAAGATAACTAGGAAGCAAGAGTCTTATGTGGGTTGTCTGGGTTTCAGAAGAACTTGTCTCAGGCTGGAGTAGCACTGGGAGGCTTCATTGAACAGAACAGCTGGTCAAATTTACAGGAAATCCATGTCAGCTCATAAGTGAATGCTGCTGGCTCCTTTCACTGTGTTAGTATTGCCAGCAACCTCCCTTTGAAACACAGTCCTACTTAGTGTACACACGACACAAAAATCCAATTGAACTGTTCTTTTCAAAACTTCAAAAAGAATCAACCATTGTCAATGATATTTCAGTGTCCTACCTCCCACAGCTCCACAGGCAGGGATAAAATGGCAAAGGGGATATACAAACACATGTTTTTACAACCCCTTTTCTTTAAAACAGGGAGAAGCTAAGTGTCCCTGTGGCATTCAGATGCATCTCAAGTACATTTCCCTGCGGGAACTTCACATCCCGGCCACCAGGGAGCGTCTCAGACTCTAAGTTCCCTTTTCCCAAAAGCTTGAAAATTCTTTTGTGCCCACAAGTCACAATAAAATAGCTAGCACACTGTCCTCACTATGAGCCAAGCAGTCTTCTAAGTGCTTTATATATTTTACCCCATTTAATCCCTGTAACAAATCACTTTATGAGGTAGGTTCTACTATTATTCCCATTTTACAAATGAAGAAATTGAGGCATAGAGTAAATTAGTTGCCTGATGACACACAGCTTCTGAGCGTTGGGCAGGGTTCAATCTGGACCAGAGGCACCATTACACGCCAAGCCTTTCCTAGACCATCTGCTGCTTTCTACACCAACTCCTAAGATCTTAAGGGGAGGGAAAGGTAGCCAAGGATGATGCGATTTGCATAGCCTGCATCTTGGCCAGCCTGCACTGCACTAAGAGATCATGCCAACCAAGGATCCAGCTTCCAGACCCTGTGACCAGGCCACTGAGCTGGCAGCTGTGGTACATATGCTACCACTTTGACCCGCACTTAGGGAGGACGTCACTGATTAATAATCACGGTCCCCCTCAGCAAGCTGAGTATGACCTCGGATCTTCTGCAACACTGCGGCCACAGATCTGAGCTGGCTTGTTACAGGAAACCTCTCTCTTCCTCTGTTAAAGTAACGGAGTGCATTAAAGTTGTTTCCTTGATGTCCCAAGTGAAACCTCCTGCACCCATAACCTTAAAGCCTTTGGGATATTGTTTTCCGGATGTTGATTACTTGAAAATGAGCCACCTGAATGCACGCTTAATGTACATTCCTTGGGCTCTCTTTACAAATGAATCAGAATCTCTAGGGGTAAGGTGGAGACAATGTACTTTAAGCTCCTCAGGTAAGTTTTCTGTACCCTGGAGTGGGAATTACTGCAGTCTTGCCTTTTTCTTAGCCTTGCATTATACATACATCCTTTCTATAAAGACTAAGTAGCTGCCATCTAAGTGTCAGGCATTTACTCAGAGCAGCTACCCCGGACAGACACCTGAGGTAAGCCAGGGAAAAAGGAGGCAGCAGCAACACGTCATGAGCACCGGTTGCCAGCACAAAAATCAACACAGCAGTGGTGCTATCAGAGGTCACAGAGACAATGTGACCCACCTGTTCACCTCCAGAAAGGACTGCCTCAGCTCCTCTAGCCCTGTTCACATGAGCGCTCTGACTGGAAACACAGATTCTGAACTGATGACACAGGCAACGGCAGTGAGCGCACACTTTAATCTGGTCAGGCCTATTGTGGTGAAAAACCCCAGAGGGCTGACTGTGGCATAATGAATCACTCGGCTCTTCCCATCAGTGGCAAGGAAAAAAGGCTTTCAATTAATAGGCATGCAAATGTCACTGCTGGCTGAATATATGACAGCAAACAGAGATTAACTGGATAATGAAGCCGTATCTGCGCACAGCCTCCCATCAGACGTAGAATGCTTGTCTGTCATGTAGACAAAGGGACACACTAAAAACCCAGAGGGGAAGGACAGGTTACTCAGAGTGGGGTGGGGGCGTTTACGTGATGACACTGCTGGAGTCCGCCAGCACAGGCAGCCTGTTATAAAGCAGGTGGCTCAATACCCCACTTCCCACCCGTAAGTGCACAGTCACAGCTGATCAGAGCTGACTAGACGCCCATAGCAGCAGTGCTCAATCTAGTCTTGGACCCAAATTCAGGGTCTTCAGCTCTTGCCTTACCTTCCTGTCAAAATCCAGGCCCCAGGATTGGGCACCTGCTGCCTGACATCCCTTCTAGGAGCACCCAGGGACAATGGGAACCTCAACTGCCCATCTGCCTCTGAGGAAGAAATTCTCTTTGGTCCTTGAGAGGGAGATAAAGGAAAACCCTTTCACCACAAGTGCAAGAACTGGTAAAAAAGAGGATACCACATGGGCAGGCACAGCAGCAGGCAGAGAGGATTTCACCTCAATTCCCATTTTGAGTGAGAATCACAAAACAAAGCTTACGAGGGATCTTAAATGCCTGAGCAAACCTTTTTGACAGATTAACAGAAGCACAAGTAGCTGTTAAGAACCAGGTCAGATCTGTCAGCAGCAGAGCTGAAGTTAGGACCCCAGATTTCAATACTGCATCACACATGTGGGTGTGGGGAGAGTCTGTAGACCTCTTCCTCAGGTCTTGGGCCTTGGCCTCCACTAGGCAGAGAACCCCAGCATCTCAGAGTGAGGTATGTAAGGAGAGACAGACAGATGGCAGACACCACAGGAGATTTAAGGCTCCTGTCATGAGTCCAAGGCTACCCACCTGCGAACAAGTACCAAGGCCAAAGGGCAGGGGTAGCGGGACCACAGTTCCTGCACTTCCTCTTGGATAGGGATGACCCTGACCTCTATGGGAGGTTCAATATTTCC